CAAGCAGCAGAAGATTGCCCGGGTACGGGGCCGCTGGGCTGGGGCCGGGGCTGCGGGGGGACTGGGGGGCCACGGGGGGACTGGGGGGCCGCGGGGCCTGACGCCTCTCCTCACACAGCTCCTGCAGCTCTGGGAGAAAAACGGCTACTTCGACGACTCCATCATCCAGCAGCTCCAGAGCCCGGCCCTCGGCCTGGGCCAGTACCAGGTGAGTGGCCGACGGAGGCCAGCGAGCACCGGGGATGCGGTGGTGGCCACGTCCATGCGGGCGCTGAGCGGCTCCTCCACAGGCCACACTCATCAGCGAGCACTCGTCGGTGGTGCAGCCCGTGCAGCTGGCTTTCCAGCAGCAGATCCAGACGCTGAAGACGCAGCACGAGGACTTCGTCAGCAGCCTGGCGCAGCAGCAGATGCCGCCCATGGAGGCCGAGGTCAAGGCCACCCCGCCGCCCGCCCCGCCGCCCGCCCCTGCGCCTGCCCCGGCCATGCCACCCACCACGCAGCCCGGTAGGGATCCCCGCGCCCGCCCCTTGCCTACACGTTGGCTGGGGAGCCGCCCGCGTGGACTGCTCAGGTGGGAGGTCAATAGCTTTTGTCCTAGCCTGGAAAGCACAGCCCCCGGGACCCCGGGGACCCCGCCGCCATCGCCTGCACTGCAGCCTTGCAGTCACGCAGGCGTGCGTGCGCGCACAGATGCGGGAATAGCGTGTAAGACCTGAAACGGCAGCAATCCCTGCCTTCCCAAGGCAGAGGCGAGAAGGTTGCGAGTTCAGGGCCAGGTGGGGCTACCCAGTGAGAAGTCCAGTCTAGCAGCGTACAGCTTTGATATTCCCAATCCGCAAACGAGAGCCAAAGTGTCCGCGCTAACAGAACACGTGAGTTTCAAGAGGGAGCTTTCACGTCCGGGGTGGGCTGCCGCAAACTCGTGTAAATATTCCAGAATCAGGGAACCAACTTGGCAACGCCTGTGGCCCCTCGTTTTGGCCGTGGGATGGCCGCGCCGCGCCGGGTTTTACATTTGCCACGAGATGCGCCATCGCTGGTTCCCTCATCTTAACGTTAGAAAACGGAGCAAGGCCTGGCCAAGCCCGGCCGCTGGGAGGCAGGCGGGGGTGGCCTGCAGCGCGGCAGGCTGTCTGGGGTGGGGAGGGAGGGGTGCCCGTGTTCCTCTGGAGGGGCAGGGGCGGCAGGGGCGAGGGCGGCCGGCAGAGACCTGGCGACGGTCGCCGTGCCATGCCGTGCCGTGCGGCCCGCTGGCTCCCGTCCTGCCCCCAGCGCTGGCTACGCGCCCCTGACAGTCCCTCCCTGTTTAGATGACAAGCCTCCCATCCAGATGCCAGGCTCGTCCGAGTACGACGCCGCGGGAGGGGTGCCAGACCCCGGGGCTGGGGGGCCGCGGGGCCCTGGGCCCCACGAGCAGATCCCACCCAACAAGCCTCCGTGGTTCGACCAGCCGCACCCCGTGGCTCCGTGGGGCCAGCAGCAGGTACTGAGGCGGAGGAGGGAGGTGGGGAGCGGGACATTGAGCCCCAGACACTGCACCCTGGGGGCCGGGCAGGGGCCGCTCTGGCCAGACCAGGGTCCTAGGCTGCCACTGACATTCTTGGGGGGGGGCAGGCAACTGCACAACCATCCCGTCCTTGGGGTTCACATCCTCTTGGGTGGTGTGGCAGGAGGTGCCCTGCAGCTTGTGGGGTGCAGCCAAAGGAGCTCTAGACAGCCCAGCTGTGGGGCTGCAGATGCACCCCACTCAGCGCACCCCGTCTTCGGGACCAGAGCTGGCACGTGCTGTGGGGCTGGGATGTGTGTCTCTGGAACAGGGGTGCAGGTCTTTGTCCCCCGGCTGTGGCCTGAGAGGCCCCCAGCACTGCGCTCCGTCACCTCGCCCATGTTTGGGGTTGGGAGGGGATCGCGGCTCGCACGGGGTCCCCAGAATGGACTGGGCGGGCCCAGCATGAGGGACTGAGGCTGGTTTAGAGCTGATCCCAGTAGCCGCAGACGCGTGGATGTGGGTGGGCCGGTGTTGTCAGGATGCCCCCCTCCAGTACCCCCCTCCTCCCCCTGCCAACCCCCATCCCCCGCCGGCCCCGTGGGTCCCACACCCTCGCCGCCCCAGCTCTGACGCCCGCCGTGTCTGCAGCCTCCGGAGCAGCCGCCCTTCCCACACCACCAGGGCGGGCCGCCACACTGCCCGCCGTGGAGCAGCGGCCACGAGGGCATGTGGGGCGAGCAGCGCGGAGACCCCGGCTGGAGCGGCCAGCGTGACGCGCCCTGGAACAGCCAGCCGGACCCCAACTGGAGCGGCCCATTCGAGGGCCCCTGGAGCGGGCAGCATGAGCAGCCGCCCTGGGGCGGGGGCCAGCGGGAGCCCCCCTTCCGCATGCAGCGGCCGCCCCACTTCCGCGGGCCCTTCCCCCCGCACCAGCAGCACCCGCCCTTCAGCCAGCCGCCGCACCCCCACAACTTCAACCGCTTCCCGCCGCGCTTCATGCAGGACGACTTCCCCCCGCGCCACCCCTTCGAGCGGCCGCCCTATCCGCACCGCTTCGACTACCCGCAGGGGGACTTCCCCGCAGGTGAGCGCACGCCCTGCCCGCGGCCACTCAACGCCCTGCTCCCCCATACCAACCCTACCCCCACACCCTGCTCCCCCACGCCAACCCCCCCCACTGCAACTCTTGCTTCTCAGCAGAAATGGGGCCCCCGCACCACCACCCCAGCCACCGCATGCCCCACCCCGGAATCAACGAGCACCCGCCCTGGGCGGGGCCCCAGCACCCCGACTTCGGGCCCCCCCCACACGGCTTCAACGGCCAGCCCCCACACCTGCGGCGGCAGGGCCCCCCCCATGTCAACCACGATGACCCCAGCCTGGTCCCCAACGTACCCTACTTCGACCTCCCCGCCGGGCTGATGGCACCCCTGGTGAAGGTGAGCCGCGGCGGGGCCTGGCGCGCGGGGCGGGTGGCCGCGGGGAGGCTGCGGGCCGGCGGTGCAGGCAGCGCTGTGTCCCCGCAGCTAGAGGACCACGAGTACAAGCCCCTGGACCCCAAGGACATCCGCCTGCCGCCGCCCATGCCGCCCAGCGAGCGCCTGCTGGCCGCCGTGGAGGCCTTCTACAGCCCGCCCTCCCACGACCGCCCGCGGAACAGGTGCGTCCCGTGTCCTCACGTTCCCTCGCGTGCCCGTCCCCGCCCCCCTCCCCGTGCCCCCTCCATCCCCTCTCCTAACCCCGCGCCCCGCCCCGCAGCGAAGGCTGGGAGCAGAACGGCCTGTACGAGTTCTTCCGCGCCAAGATGCGCGCGCGGCGGCGGAAAGGCCAGGAGAAGAGGAACAGGTGAGCCCCGCGCCCGCGCCCCCCACGCCCGCGCCCCACGCGGCCCTGGACGCCCCGCGCTCACTGCCGTCTCTCCCGCAGCGGCCCCTCGCGCTCCCGCAGCCGCTCCAAGAGCCGCGGGCGCTCGTCCTCACGCTCGCACTCCAGGTCCTCCAAGTCCTCCGGCTCCTACTCCCGCTCGCGCTCGCGCTCCTGCTCGCGGTCCTACTCCCGCTCCCGCTCCAGGTACGAGCCCCGCCCCGCCGAGGGGCTGACCCCTCACCACCGTCCTACCCCACCCCGGGCTACGCCGTCACCCAGCGGCCTGACCGCCCACCCGCCCCGCAGGAGCCGGAGCAGGTCCCGCTCCTCCAGAAGCCGCTCCCGCTCCCGCTCCCGCTCCCGCTCCAAGTCCTATTCTCCAGGCCGGCGGCGCCGCTCCCGCTCCAGAAGCCCCACCCCGCCGTAAGTCTTGCTCGGGGCCTGTGGGGAAGCACCCGCCGCCCCCTTTGCAGGGGTGCAGAATCCAGCCACACTGGGGCGCACTTTGTGGGCCCGGCAGTGGGTGGAGAAGGGGACTCCAGGTGGTGAGCCCCTACTCAGCAACCCAAACTGCCCTGCTGCAGTTCCTCTGCTGGCCTGGGTTCGAATTCGGCGCCTCCCATACCTGACTCGAGGCTAGGGGAAGAGAACAAGGGGCATCAGATGCTGGTGAAGATGGGTAAGTGGCCGCGCCCGGCCGCACCGAGCTGGGGTGCGTGCGCCTCGCGCCGGGCACGTCTGCCCATGCGCACACGCATGGCTTCGTGACTGCCCGGCCTCCACCAAGGCTGACCGCAGCGCGCTGACCGTCCCGCACGTCCCCCTCAGGTTGGAGTGGATCTGGCGGCCTGGGGGCCAAGGAGCAGGGCATCCAGGACCCCATCAAGGGCGGGGACGTGCGGGACAAGTGGGACCAGTACAAGGGCGTGGGCGTGGCGCTGGATGACCCCTACGAGAACTACCGCCGCAACAAGAGCTACTCCTTCATCGCCCGCATGAAGGCCCGCGACGAGTGTGCGTAGCCGGGCGCGGCGGGGGGCGGGGGGCGAAGGTGACGAGTGTGCGTGGCCGGGCGTGGCGGGGGCCGGGGCGGCGGGGGGCGGGGGGCGAAGGCCCGCGACGAGTGTGCGTGGCCGGGCGCGGCGGGGGCCGGGGCGGGGGCGGGGGGCGAAGGTGACGAGTGTGCGTGGCCGGGCGCGGCGGGGGCCGGGGCGGGGGTGCGCAGCGCCGGGCGGCACTGGCCGCGGTGCTGACGCCGCTCCACTCCCGTAGTCTCCACGTTCGGGGCACGCAAGGAAGAGAAGGAAGACTGATGGGGCCAGGCCACGCCACGCCTGCGACAGCAGAGGGCCCGCGCCACGCGGGAGGGGCCGCGGGAGGGGCCGGGCACGGCCGCGCTGAGCCGGCGGGCCCCCGCCCACGGGGCCGGGCCTGGCGGGGCCGGACAGGGCTTCGCCGCCTTCTCCCCCCGCGCGGTTTCGTTGGAGGGAGCCCGCGCCCCGCCTGGCCGCCGCTGGGCCTGTGGCCGCCGCGCGCGCGCACGCCGGATCCCACGCCACGCGCCGCCGGGTTTCTCGTGGATTTTACTGTTTCACCTCAAATAAAGCCTTTTTGTAACAGCGTGGCCTCGGTGCGGCCCGCGTCAGCTGGCGGCCGGGGCGCCCGCGGGGCCCCGCAGCTCCTCCGTCACCTCCCGCAGCGCGGCGTCCAGGGTCAGCGGCGCGGGCCTGTGGCACTGGATGAACTGCGGGAGGGGGGGGGGGGCACGCGGGGCCTGAGCGGGCGCTGGGCGGGCATGCGCCACGCCCCCGGCGCCCCGCCACGCCCCCAGCGCCCCGCCACGCCCCCCAGCGCCCCGCCCCCGGCGCCCCGCCCCGCCCCCGGCGCCCCACCCCGCCCCCCAGCGCCCCGCCCCCCAGCGCCCCGCCACGCCCCCGGCGCCACGCCCCCGGCGCCACGCCCCGCCCGCCCCCCAGCGCCCCGCCCCGCCCCCCAGCGCCCCGCCCCCGGCGCCCCACCCCGCCCCCCAGCGCCCCGCCCCCGGCGCCCCGCCCCCCAGCGCCCCGCCACGCCCCCGGCGCCACGCCCCGCCCGCCCCCCAGCGCCACGCCCGCGCCCCACCACGCCCCCAGTGCCGCGCCCCGCCCACCCTCACCTCCTTGGCGTCCTCCAGCGTGTGGTAGTGGAAGGCGTCGCCCTCCAGGGAGCGCAGGAAGGAGCTGTGCAGCTGGCGGCTGGCCTCCACGAACTGGCGCGTCAGCCCCAGCTGCTGCTTGAGCAGCTCGTTCAGCGCCAGCACCGCGGGGCTGTAGGCTGTGAGGGCTGAGGCCCCGCCCCGCTCAGGCCGGGCAGGGCGGGGCCCGCGGGGGGGGCGGGGCCTGGGGGGCATCCACCGGGTGGAGCCGTGGTGGGCGGGGCCTGGGCAGGGCGGGGCTTCGGGTGGGTTGGCCTGGGGGGGCGGGGCCTGGGGGGCATCCACCGGGTGGGGCGGTGGTGGGCGGGGCCACCCCTGGCCAGAGTCTGCAGTCTGGTTCTTGGCCCCCCCTAGTAGTCTGCAGGTTTGGGTTCCAGACTCAGGTTAGGGGAGGGGTACACCCCACCCCCAGGGGTCCCACGCCCGCCTCCCCGGAAGGGCCCAGCTCTTACCTTCCAGGGCATCCGCACTGACCACATGACTAGCGATGGGCACTGGGTCCAGGTAGGCGCTGCCCAGGCCCGGCCCCACAACCGCCTCCCCGGCCCCTGCGGGACAAAGCGGCCACGCAGCTGCCTCTGTGCTCAGTGGTGACAGGGCCTCCCCTGGGCCTGGGCCCGGCCAGCCCAGGTCTGCACAGCGCAGCCCGCACCCAACCCACAGCCTTGCTCAGGGCACACCTACAATCCCGGCCGCTTAGGAGCAGAGGCAGGGCCTCCATGGAGGACAGCCTGGGCCACACAGGCTCTGTCTTACACGGCCAGGGCTCACGCCTGTGATCCCAGGAGCCCAATCTGGGTAGGAATGTCAGACTTGTCATATCTAATGAACCCAGCAAAAAGCTGGAAGTGGTGCTGTGGCTCAAGTGGTGGAGTTCCAGCCTTGAGTGAAAATGCACACAGCACCCCAGCCTCGAGATGGAGCTCTAGGACCAGCACATGCACACGCACACACACACTATACACATATATACATATGTATACACACACATGTATATATGTATATGTATATATGTGTATATATGTATATATGTATAGTGTGTGTGCACGTTACACGCACAATCTAGCACTTTCTGGTGCAAATTCAACCACCACGTGCCAGTCACCCTCCCCAGGGCAGGCTTGCAGAGGAGGCAGGCAAAGCAGGGCAGGGCCCAGCCAGCTGGGGGAGAGAAACTTCCAGAAAGTCCCTCTGAAGCTGAGGAAATGGGGCCAGGGCCAGGGGCCTGTGCACTGCGCTCCCCAGGCCGAGCTGCGGTGTGGGGGACAGGGACCGCAGGCGGGTGTCAGGCGGCTGGCTGAGGAGCAGGGTGCACTCCCCCCCCCCCCCCCACCAATCCCACAACCAGAGCTGCCCCAAGGCCTTCCCGGGGGCGCTGGGCCAAGCCAGATTCTAGAAGTGTCCCGAGTGTCGGGGCTCCGGAGCCCTTACCCCGGCTCCACTGGTAGGCAAGGCCGGGCACCAGCGGCTCCTGCGTCTGCACGGCCACCTCCTTAACGGGGCGCGGCCCGGGGTGCAGCGCAGCGCTCTGGCTGCAGGACAGCTCCGGGGGGGTCCCCCATGCGCCTGAGGGTGCGGGCTCGGAGACACTGGGACTCAGGGAGCGCTCGAAGTTCTCCGAGTAAGCCAGACTGGAAGGGGACTCGGAGGGGGGCTCGGAGGCCATGCTGGCCCCCAGCCGCTCCGACACCTGGCTCTCGTCCCCCGCCACGGGGCTGGCTGCACCCTGGAACGTGGAGCCCGGGGCCCGCGGCCCTCCGCTGCCGGTGCTTTCCTCCTAGGGGCACAGGAGGAAGCGTTTCACATCTGAGCCAGGCATGGTGACGCATGTCTGTAATCCCAGCACACCTGAGGTTGGGGCAGAGGATCCCCAATTCCAGGCCAACCTGGGCTCCATGGGGAATCTGACCAGAACATTCAGAGAACTGGAGGTGCAGCTCAGGGGCACAGCGCCAAGAGCCGAGGTCAGGGCATCCTGGAGGGACATGCCCGGTCCTCCGTGGGCTGGATGTAGTGGGGGGTGGGGGCAGGGCAGCGGGGGGGGGGGGGGGCGTGCCCAGCTCCTCCGTGGGCTGGATGTGGGGGTGGGCGCCCTTGGGGGACTTTGTCCCGACGGCGCCCAGGGCAGCACAGCAGCAGCAGTGCAGGCTTTCTGGGGGCACAGGGGTGACGAGCCTGACCTCGGGGCGCTGCCCGCTCATACCACACCTCGGAAGCTTTTGCCTTTCTTGGCTCTGCTAGGGTCCCGTGCTTTTGCACGATCTGTCCTCAGACCGTGTGTTTCCGGCCCCTGCTGCCAGAGTAGCTGGGATTACAGGCAGCACCCCCAGGTCTTTCCAAGTTGGTTTTTAGACAGATGCCACCCTGTCCCCCGAGCTGGTCTGAAACGGGATCCTCCAGCCTCGCCCCCCCCCCCCCCCGTGGGGATCCCAGCGTGCCCCCCACCCCTGTCGGGCCAGGCATGGGCTTAGTGCCCACGCTGCTTGCATGCCAGCACCACAACTCCAGCAGGACCAAGGATCCGCACTCGGGCCGGGCCGCTTACGCTCCAATCCCCAGCTGAGGTTTCGCCGCTGACGTCTGCAGCCAGGTCCTCCAGGGACAGGTCCTCCAGGGACAGGATGTTGACTCTGAAGTCTGGAATGAAGATGGCGGCCGGAGCCCCTCCTTGCCTCTGCAGGGCTGGGGACAGCGGCCTGGGCCCGGCCCCGGCTGCACGCATGCGCTCTGAGGGCCAGCGTGCCTCCCTCGGCCCTCCGCGTGTGAGCCTGAAGCCACGGGGCCACCGTGTGATGCTGGGTGGGGGCTGAGCTCAGGCACCGGCACACCCGCACCCCTGCGCCCTCCCGGGCTGTGAAAGCCAGGACGTCCCGGCCCGTGGACAGGAAGCAAGGCGCTGTCCTGACAACAACCGAGAGCCGGGCGCCACGCTTCACCCCAGCTGCTCAGGAGGCTGACACGGGAGGACTGTGGTTCAAAGCCAGCCTGGGCAGGAAAGTCCTCGAGACTGATCTCCAGTGAACCACTCAAAGACCAGAAGTGGCGCTGTGGCTCAAGTGGCAGAGCACCAGCCTTGAGCACAAAGAGGCTCAGGGACAGCGCCCAGGCCCTGAGTTCAAGCCCCACAACTGACACAAAACGAAAACCAAAACAACAAAGAAAAACGCCTGCATCTGCACCCCGCGTGTGGAGCTTCCCGAGCCTGTGAGAGCGACCTCCGCCCCGCGCCCCCAAATGAACAATGAAAACGGAAGCAAATCGCAGGGTCGGCTGTAGCTCTAGAAGGTTCTTTTCTCAGGTTGCTGCTGTAATGGGTCGGAGTGGGTGACGTGGGCCCTGAAACCCCTCTGCTGAGATCAACGTGAACCCCGCTGCACCGGCTCAGGGAGAAGCTGGGGTGGCGTGGACCTGCGGCTGCCCAGGCCCTGGAGGGGCGGATCCTGAGCCCGCTGGCCGGGTGCTGGGCGCACAGTCCTTCCCCAGAGGGCTTTTACTGTATTTCACACGGGGACTGAGGATGGCCTCAGACTGTGGTGCTCCGGGCTACGTCCCCCTCCCTCAGAGAAGGGATGCCGGGGCACACCACCACACCTGGCTTATTGTTTGAGATAGGGTCTCACAAGCTGGCTTCAGACAGGATCCTCCAAATCTCAGGCTCAGCCCCGCCCTCGCCCCAGCAGCTGGGATGATTGGTAGGTGTGTGCTGCCGCCCCGCCCAGCAGCTGGGATGATTGGTAGGTGTGTGCTGCCGCCCCGCCCAGATGCCCCGTGTGCTACCCAGGCAGTGGCCGTACCCTGCGGGCTGTCGGTGGCCGCTTCGGGCGCCAGCGCGTTCCAGGGCCCCGCCTCGCTGCAGGTGGACAGAGACGCCAGCTGCAGCCGCCGCAGCTCGGACGACGCGGGCGCTGAAGAGGCGCGCGAGGGCGGCGGCGAGGCCGCGGGGAGCGGGGTGTGCGCGGAGCTGGCACGGCCCAGGGGCCCGGCAGGCTCGGGGCTGGGCAGGGCGAGCGCCGAGGGTCCACGCGGGGTCTCACCGTCCTTCGTGGAAACAAGACACGTGGGAACAAGTGACCGTCCAGACCTGCCGCACCCACGCGCTCGCGCGGCCTGGCCGCACGGCGGCCGGTCCCCCGCGACCGGCCCTCTGCGGAGCTGGGACTGCAGGCACCCCCCCAGAGCTGCCTACTTTTCCTAGGGTTTGAACTTACAGCCTGGGCGCTGGCCCTGAGCTTTTTCACAAAAGGCTGGAGCTTTACCACCTGAACCACAGCCCCACTTTGGCTTTTTGCTGGTAAACTGGAGAGAAGAGTCTCACAGACGTTCCTGCCCCGGACCTTTCCTTCCTCAGGACGGTGGTCCTCACATCTCAGCCTCCAGAGGCTGGGCCTCTGGTGTCTGGCTATTTATGTCTTTTCTTCCACAGGGCTGTGCCGTAGCACAGGCGGAGCTGGCACTGGCTGTGCAGCCCGGCCGCCCTCAAACTTACAATCCTTCCTTTTGGGCTCCGGTGCCAGGACCACAGGTGTGCGCCACCCCCTGGGCTGTACTGGGGATGCTTGCATCACGTGACTGTCCCCTCAATTAGGAAAAAAGAAACCAAACAGCCAGACCCTGTGGGCCAGCGCTGCAGCAGCCCGCAGGTGCGGTCTGGTGGTGCCTGGTGAGAGCAGACAGTTACAGATCCGGACCACACGTGCCCGCGCGGCCACGCCCGGCCCTCAGCCAGCGGCGTCCGTCCCGCCCAAACCCAGCGGAGCTCAGGAAACTGAGCTCCACAAGCGAAGAACTGAGCGCGGTGGCACACGCCTGTAATCCCAGCACTCAGGACACTGAAGCAGGAGGACCGTGAGTTTGAGGTCAGCCTGGGCTCTATAGCCAGGCCTGGTCACACAAAAAATAGAAAATAAGAAACACAGTCTGGAGCTGGGCGCCAGTGGCTCACGCCTGTCATCCCAGCAACTCAGGAGGCTGAGATCTGAGCATTGAGGTTCGAAGTCAGCCTGGGCAGGACACTCCATGAGACTTATCTCCAATAAACCACCAGAAAAGCAAAGTGGCCCTGTGGCTCAAGTGGTAGAGCGCTCGCCTTGAGCTGAAGAGCTGAGGGACAGCGCCCAGGCCCAGAGTTCAAGCCCCACGACCGACGACAACAACAGCAGAAAGATCTGGAGGGCATGGCACATGTAGGACACCTGCCTGGCGAGCCAGACCCTGAGTTCAAATCTCAGCACAGCCAAAGGAAGGTGGAAAAAGCCCACAGTAAAATGGGAGTGAAGGAACCCTTCACCCCAAATCCCTCCCCAAGGCCCAGCCCCCCACCTCCCGCCCAGCCCCCCACGCCCCCCACCTCCCGCCCAGCCCCCCACGCCCCCCACCTCCCGCCCAGCCCCCCACGCCCCCCACCTCCCGCCCAGCCCCCCACGCCCCCCACCTCCCGCCCAGCCCCCACTCCCCCCACCTCCCGCCCCGTTCCCACTCCCCCCACCTCACGCCCAGCCCCCACTCCCCCCACCTCGCGCCCAGCCCCCACTCCCCCCACCTCGCACCCAGCCCCCACTCCCCCCACCTCGCACCCAGCCCCCACTCCCCCCACCTCGCACCCAGCCCCCACTCCCCCCACCTCGCACCCAGCCCCCACTCCCCCCACCTCCCGCCCAGCCCCCACTCCCCCCACCTCCCACCCCATTCCCACTCCCCCCACCTCCCACCCCATTCCCACTCCCCCCACCTCGCACACACCCCCACTCCCCCCACCTCGCACCCAGCCCCCACTCCCCCCACCTCGCACCCAGCCCCCACTCCCCCCACCTCCCGCCCAGCCCCCACGCCCCCCACCTCGCACCCAGCCCCCACGCCCCCCACCTCCCGCCCAGCCCCCACTCCCCCCACCTCGCACCCAGCCCCCACTCCCCCCACCTCGCACCCAGCCCCCACGCCCCCCACCTCCCGCCCAGCCCCCACTCCCCCCACCTCACACCCAGCCCCCACGCCCCCCACCTCGCACCCAGCCCCCACTCCCCCCACCTCGCACCCAGCCCCCACGCCCCCCACCTCGCACCCAGCCCCCACTCCCCCCACCTCGCACCCCCCCACGCCCCCCACCTCGCACCCAGCCCCCACGCCCCCCACCTCCCGCCCAGCCCCCACTCCCCCCACCTCGCACCCAGCCCCCACTCCCCCCACCTCGCACCCAGCCCCCACTCCCCCCACCTCCCGCCCAGCCCCCACTCCCCCCACCTCCTGCCCAGCCCCCACTCCCCCCACCTCGCACCCAGCCCCCACTCCCCCCACCTCGCACCCAGCCCCCACTCCCCCCACCTCGCACACACCCCACCCCCCCCACCTCGCACCCACCCCCCACGCCCCCCACCTCGCACCCCCCCACGCCCCCCACCTCGCACCCAGCCCCCACTCCCCCCACCTCGCACCCAGCCCCCACGCCCCCCACCTCCCGCCCAGCCCCCACTCCCCCCACCTCCCGCCCAGCCCCCACTCCCCCCACCTCGCACCCCCCCACGCCCCCCACCTCGCACCTGTCCCCACCTCACGCGCAGCCGAGCTCTGCTTCGTCCACGTTTCCTCACGTGTAGAAGATTCTGTCAAGCTCCCCAGCAACTCCTTCATTTCCTCCTCGTCGCTGTCGGGCGCGTCAACTCTTCCAGCAGGTTCTGCGCGCGGAGTGTGCCGGGCGCGGCCCGCAGCCGCGGCCTGGGGGTGCGGGGGCGCGCCGCGGGCGGGGGGCGCGCCGCGGGCGGGGGGCGCGCCGGTCTTGAGGAACCTGCTTCCCCCCAGGCTCTGCGTGGCGAGGGAACTGGTGTCTCCGGCTTTCTTCTGGAAGCTTCCGCGAGCCTGCGGGAGGGACAGGCCCTCGGAGCCGCTCCGGGAGCGGGCGCCGGGCCGGGCCGGGGCGGGCGCCGGCCTGCGGCCGCGGAGCTTGCTCTCCATCTGGGCCAGCTTGGCCAGCACCGCGCTGGTTCGCGCCGCGGCGCCGGGGCTGGGCCGGGACGTCCGGCCCCGGCCGCCGGGCGCACGCGGCGGGGCCCCGCTTTGGTTTCTTCTGAGGAACCGGCCGTGTCCCGGGCCGGCCTGGGCCAGCCCCGGGCGGGCCGGCGGGTTTCTGACTGCTTCCATCTTGGAATCTTCTAGAGAGAGGTCGCTGAGATCACACATGCCACCGGGGCCGTAACGCAGTTTGCTCGCAGAAGCCATGCTGGGGGAGAGGAGAAACGGCTGGGGACGCGGGGAGGGGCGCCGCGGACGAGGTTGGGGGGATCGGGCCGCTGTGCTCTGCGGGCCCCGCAGCTCCGCCGTGCTGGGGGGGTCACGGGCCTCCCCGGCCCCGCTGGGAACCCTCGGCCCCCAGCACCGGGAGCCGCGTCCAGTGCTGCCCTTCCGCGGTGGCCGCCGGCCCCGGGCGCGCTGCCGTCACCGGACAGACTTGTGTTTCTGGCAGGATTGGGGTCCGCACTCGGGGCGTTACGAAGGGGGTCCCCCGGCCCTTTATCTTTTCAAGGGATTTTTGTTTCTCCAAGGTAAACGTCCGTCTGTCGTGTGGGGTGAGGCCCAGCTTCACTGTGCTAATGCATACCGCACGGGGTGCTTTTCTTTTCCTTTTTCTGGCTGGGCTTGGGCTCTGTCTGTCCCTGACCTCAAAGCTCAAGACTGGTGCTCCGCCAGTTGAGCCCCCGCTCCACTTCTGGCCATTTTGGTAGTAATAAGAGGCTCACGGACTTTGCAGCCTCGATCCTCACATCTCAGCCTCCTGAGTGGCTGGGACGACCGGCGGGCGCCACCGCCCCGCCGCTTCATAGGCTGCTAGCTGCAGACAAAACGCAGAATCCACGCCCTCCCCAAAGTGTCCCTGCGGGGCGGGCGCCTCGCTGAGCGGCACGCACAGCCTCGCGACGGGCTGCACGCGTGAGGCCCCGGAGACGGCCCCGCCACGCAGCCAGGCGGCTGGGGAGAGGCTGCGAGGGCGGGAGGGGCGGGCCCGGCGGGACCCCGAGGAAGCTGAGCCCGGCCCGCCCTCCCCCCCTCCCCCTCCCCACTGACCTCGGCCACGTTGTCCTCCCGCGGAGGCCGCCAGGGATTTCCCGCTCAGCGATCCGGCGCCGGTAGCCCGTTGCCCTGGGCAACCGCGCGACGGCGGAAAAGGCCACGCCCCCTCCGGACACCGAGCTCCGAGGACCAACGGCGAACTAGGTCGTCGTGGCGAGGCATCATGGGAAAAGTAGTTCCGGGCTACATCCCTGCGTACACCGCGACGTAAGCCAAGCAATGGTGTGTCAAGTCACAGCCGCGAGGCGTCGTGGGAGCTGTAGTTTCCCGAGGGCCCTGGGCGTGCCCCGCTCCCCGAAGACCAAGGGTGTGTCCCACATCACAGTCGCGACGCATCACGGGAGTGGTAGTTCCCGCTGGTTCCCGGCGTACACCGCGCTCGGGATGCACGGCGGCCTCAGGTCACAATCGCGAGGCGTGACGGGAGTTGTAGTTTGAGGTCGGCCAGGCTGGGCGCGGCGCGGGGCTCAGACCGCTGGGAGCGCGGCGGCCGCGGGGGAGGAGCGACGCGCGCGGCCATGGTTGCGGCTCGCGTGGCCGCGCTCTGCGCCGTGTGCGCGCTGCGGGTGGTGCTGGCCACCGTCTATTTCCGGGAGGAGTTCCTGGACGGAGGTGACGGGCGGCGCGGGGCCGCGGGCGCGGGGGCCCCGCCGCGGGCGGCGCCCCCGCGGTGACGCGTGTCGTTCCCGCCCGCAGAGCGCTGGAGGAACCGCTGGGTGCAGTCCACCAACGACTCCAACTTCGGGCACTTCACCGTCTCGTCGGGGAAGTTTTATGGTCATAAGGAGAAGGACAAAGGTTGGTGGGGGGCGGGGGCGCGCACGCCGCCCGGGCGCGCGCGCGCACCACGCGCATGCGCACGCGAAGGCGCAGGCGCCTCGCCCCGTTGAAGCCAAGCTCGGCCGCCGTCGAGCTTTGCCGACCGCGGGCTCCACGTCGAAAGGAACGCCCGGCCTCGCCCGTCTCGGACTCGGGGGCCCTGGGCTGGGCTGGGCCAAGGTCACGGCCGAGGGCACCGGGGGCCCGCCATCTCGCGTGTGTTAATCCCTGGCACCCCAGGCCCGCACTCCTGGCTTTGGGTGGAGCGAGCACTGCTTTGTAAGCCATTTCTTGACCCAAGTAGTTGGTGGGGGGAAAAAAAATCAAGCTCGATCCAGCCTGGCTGAGCAGGCTGGCAGAGGAGGCTCATGAGTTCAAGGACAGCCTGGCCCCTCCTGCGTCCGGGCACCGGCGCGGCCCACACCTGTCATCCTAACTACTCAGGAGCTGAGATCTGAGGATCGCAGTTCGAAGCCAACCCCGGGCGGGAAAGGCTGTGAGACTCTTAGCTACAATGAGCCCACCAAAACCAGCCAGTAATGGAGTGGTATAGCATCAACCTTGAGCAAAAGAGCCAAGGGACAGTGCCCAGGCCCTGAGTTCAAGCCTGAAGACCAGCACCAAAAACACCCTCAAGTCACATGCATAAAACCACACCCCTGCCCAGTTCATTCATTTCTTCAGCACTGAAGCCAGGAGAGCTTGGCACTGCGTCCACATCGGTGCAGATTCTTCTTTTGCCTCCGGGGGTGGGGCATGGAAGACATGAGGGCTCTTCAGCATTGCCTTCCCCCGGGGAGCCGGACTGGAGCTGGAACCCCGACTGGAGCTGGAACCCCTGTGCTGGACTGGGCCAAGGTCAAGGCCCAGGAAAGGACGGACGGGGCAAGCAGTACAAGAGGAGTGCCAGACCCTGGAGACATAAATGCCAAATGCCAAGGTCCCAGGGAGAGTGGCTCAGGTGAAGAGCGCCCACTGAGCAAGTCCAAGAGTCTGAGTTCAAATCCTGACGCTGCCAACAAATGACGTCAAAATGCCCAGTTCATACATGATGGCGTAGGGTAGGTTCCCACAGGAATGACTCAGATGCCAGTTTTCACAAACTCTCGCACAAGAAGGGCATCGAGACTCATACCTGTAATCCCAGCTACTTAGGAGGCTGAGCATCAAGGTTTAAAGCCAGCCTGGGCAAGAAAGTCCATGATACACTCTATCTCTAACCACCAAAAAGTCTCAAGTGGAGGTGTGGGTTGAGTGGTAGAGTGCCAGCCTTGAGCAAAAAAGCCAAGCGAGAGTACAGGATCCTAAGTTCAGAACCTAGCACTAGCATAATAACTCAGGGGCTTTGAGGATTAGGGTGTGGTACAGTGGGAGAGCCTTGCTGGCATCCACAACAGCTGGGTTCTGTCTCCAGCACCAACAGCAAATCCCAAGCCAGGCATCCATGGCTCACACTGCCATCCTAGCTACTCAGGAGGCTGAGATCTGAGGATTGAGGTTCAAAGCCAGCCTAGGCAGGAACATCCGTGAGACTTAATTCCAATAAATCACCAGAAACCTGGAAGTGGTGCTATGGCTCAAGTGGTACAGCGCCAGCCTTGAGCTGAAGAGCTGAAGGACAGCGCTCAGGCCCAGAGTTCAGGCCCCACAACTGAACCCCCAAAAAACAGACAGGTGCTGTGGTCCACATCTGTAATTCCAGCCACTCAAGTGGTGAGCATGGGAGGATTGTGGTCTGAGGCCGGTCCATACGCCTTATCTGTAAAACTCAAGTAGAAAAAAGAATGGGAATTAAGTGGGGGAGCATATATATGGTATATAAGTATGTATTGAATATTAATATAGTTGTATTATGTTAATCTAATATTTTAGCATAATCATATATGTACTTACATAGTTAAAAGTACAATGTAACTTAGTATTTTAACATAAGTACGTAATTATACATTAATATATTAATATGCATTACTTTGATAATATATAAGGTTTAAGGCGTTAACATTAGCAATATAGTTATACATACATATATTATTATTATCTTTGGTTGTGGGCTTGAACTCAGGGCCTGGGTGCTGTCCTTGTGCTCAAAGCTGGTGCTTTAACACTTGAGCTACTGCACCATTTCCAGTTTTTGTGTTGTTCATTGGAGATGAGTCTCATGGCAACTTTCCTGCCCAGGCCGGCTTTGAACCATGATCCTCAGATCTCAGCCTCCTGAGTAGCTAGGATAACAGATGTGAGCCACTGGCGCCAGGCAGCAGTATGGCTATATTAAATACATATGAGTGATGGGCTGGGACTGTGGCCTAGATAAAGTCAGTGCTCAGCACACTTAAGTCCTTGGGTGTCATCTCTGGCACAAAGAAAGCCGACGCTGGTAGCTCACTCCTGTAAACCTAAGCTACTCGGAGGCTGAAAGGAGGAGGGTCGCACTTTAGTGCTGGCCTGGGCAGGAAAGTTCTCAGAACCTCTTCTCACTGAGAACTGGCATGGATAGGAAGTCTAGCCTAAGTAGGTCCCTCTCAACAACAACCCAGGCTGGGCACCGTGGCTCACGCCACCAGAAACCAAGGAGTAGTGCTGTGGCTCAGGTGGGAGAGCACCAGCCTTGAGCACAAAGAGGCTCAGGGACAGCGCCCAGGCCCAGAGTTTGAGCCCCAGGACTGGCAAAACCCAACCATTGCAGGGGCTGTGGGTCCAGCGTGGGAGCCCCGCCCTGTGGCAGGAGCGCCGGCCTCGAGCACCACCGGCACTAGATTGGGGGCAGATCGCGTTACTGGGGGCAGAGGGGGGGTCCTCTGGGAACCCAGGGCAACACCCCTTGCACTCAGTCACGCGCACTCTCCCTCGGAAGGGCTGCAGACCACGCAGAACGGCCGCTTCTACGCCATCTCCGCCCGCTTCAAGCCGTTCAGCAGCAAGGGCAAGACGCTGGTGGTGCAGTACACGGTGAAGCACGAGCAGAAGATGGACTGCGGTGGGGGCTACGTGAAGATCTTCCCCGCCGACCTGGACCAGAGGAACCTCAACGCCAGGTCCCCCTACTACGTCATGTTCGGTGAGCGCTGGGCCTGCCCCCCCCCCCACTATCTCCCTTCCTCCCCCAGCTGCCCCCCACTAATCTTTGTTGCCTGTTTTCATTTGGGGCCATAGCACAACTCAGAGGAGGCTCCTCCCTTGGGAGGAGGTCTCCCTTTATGCTTGGACTGCAGTCCCCCATTTCTGCTTCCCTGAGTCTCCGGGGTGGCGGGCCCGGGCCATCGAGCGCAGCAGTGTAAGCCGGCATTGGGGGGCAGGGGGGTCACCTCACCCCGCCATCGGTGGAGATGGCATCTTGCAAGCTTTTTTCTTGTCTAAGCTGGCTTCAAACCACGGTACTCTGACCTCTGCCTCCCGAGAAGCTGGCATTGCTGGCTCGGGCCACTGTGCCTGGCTCTGACAGCTTTGTGGGTTCTGCTTTGGCTGTGGGACTGGAAGTCAAGTCTCAGGCATTCCGGCCCACACTCCTGCCACTGCGGCAGGGCCCCGCCTGGACAGTGAGTGAACATCCACACGATGATCAGGAAGATTCCGATTGCCAGGGCTCCACACTTGGCTACTCGGGAGGCTGAGATTGGAGGCTCGCAGTTTGAAGCCAGCCAGGGCAGGAAAGTCTCCAATGAGCCACCAAAATGCCACAAGTAGAACTGTGGCTCAAGTGGTAAGAGTACCAGTACTGAGTGAAAAAGCTCAAGAATGGCTCCAAGGGCCTGCGTTCAAGTCCTAGGATGGGCGTGCGCGCGCGCGCGCCACACACACACACACACACACACACACACACACACACACACACACACACACAGATAACTCAGATGTGAGGAATTGTGCGTTCAAGGCCTTTGCTGTCCGCGTGCGGGTGGTCCGCAGGACTCTTCCCCGTGTTTTTCCTTCCACGTGTAGCTGTATGTATCCCCCTGGGAATTGGCCTGCACTGAGCTTTGAAATGGGGGCCTGGAGCCCCACCCCCGGGCCACTGCACTGCTGAGTGACAGTGACATTCACCTATGAGCTGACGCCCAACACAGCATTGTTGTTATTTCTGTGGCAGTAGATATCTAATATTAATTATATATTACACTTGCTTAGGTAGGATGCTACATATTTCTGTGTGTGTGTGTGTGTGTGTGTGTGCGCGCGCGCGCTTGAACTCTGGGCCTGGGCGCTGTCCCTCAGCTCTTCAGCTCAAGGTGAGCGCTCTACCACTTGAGCCACAGCGCCGCTTGGTTTTTCTGGTGGTTCATTGGAGATCAGAGTCTCATGGACTTTCCTGCCTGGGCTGGCCTTGAACCATAATCCTCAGGTCTCACGCGTGGCGTGAGCCCTGCGTCCTGGCTGGCAGCCACTTTGAAAGGGGAGGAAGCTTTGAGCCCTGTGCCTGAGGAAGTGGTTTGAAGCACCGCAGCCCGGCCTCAAACACCCGCCGCGCACCGCCGCGCTGCGCATCCTGCTCGGGTCAGAGGCGGAGTCCGCAGAGGTGGATTCAGCGGAGACACGCTCTGCTCTTTCCTGTGTTGGTGGTGGTGGTGGTTGTTTTGCTCAAGGCGAGTGCTCTACCCCTTGGGCCACAGCGCCACTTCCTGTTTTCTGGTGGTTTAATTGTGGACTTTCCTGCCTGGGCTGGCTTTGAACTGTGATCCTCAGATCTCAGCCTCCTGAGTAGTGAGGATGGCAGGCGGGAGCTGCCGCGCCCGGCCGCTTCCCTTTCTCTGAGTTCTCCTGTGCTGCCGGGCCGGCCTCCGCCTGCAGACCTTCCTGCGCCAGCTTCCCTGGGCAGCCGGCTCCCCGGTGATGGATGGGGCGCTGGAGCGGGCATGGCTCCTTCATTGTGGGGGCTCTGAGCGGCCCTGGCGTCTCCTGCAGGACCCGACATTTGTGGATTTGATATCAAGACGGTTCACGTCATTTTATATTTCAAGAACCAGTATCACTCAAACAAGAAACACATCCGGTGTAAGGTAAGAAAACCCTCTAGCAAACCAGCCTGTGGGTGTACGTTGCCTCCCTCCCCCCCTCCTCCCTCCCTCCCTCCCCCCCTCCCCCCTCCCTCCCTCCCTCCATCCTCCTTCCCTCCCCGGCTGCTCACTGCCTGATTGGAGGGGCAGTCTCAGGTGTGTCTGCGCCCGCTGACTTCAATCATGATCCTCAGCCCCCAGCCTCCTGAGTAGCCGGGATTACAGGCTTGAGTCCCCATACCTAGCTGGAGAGCTGTTTTTGTGTGCCTGTCCTGAGGCTTGAACTCAGGGCTGAGGTGCTGTCTCCACTTAACGCTGCCACCTGGAGCCCAGCACCACCTTTTTAGTAGCACATGTAGCAGCCCCTGCCCAGGCTGACCTTGAAAGCGCAACCCTCAGCTCTCAGCCTTCTGAGGAGCCGGGACTAAAGACGGCCCCGCCGGTGCCGGCTGCTCGTGGAGCCGCCCTGAGACGGCGTCTGTCATGGCCTCAGGTGGACGCCTTCACGCACCTCTACACGCTGGTCCTGCGGCCCGACCTCACCTACGAGGTGAGGATCGACGGCCAGGCCATCGAGTCCGGCAGCGTCGAGTACGACTGGCAGCTGACCTCCCTGAAGAACGCGGAGAAGGCCGAGGCCCAGGCCAGGGGTCCGGCCCGGGCACGCGGAGCCACAGCGCAGGTAGGCGGACCCCGCGCTCGGGGCGAGCCTGAGCTTGGTGCACACACCCCGCACACAGCCGCACAGCCCCGGGTCTCAGGCCGCGCAGCCCCGGGTCTCAGGCCGCGCAGCCCCGGGTCTCAGGCCGCGCAGCCCCGGGTCTCAGGCCGCGCAGCCCCGGGTCTCAGGCCGCGCACACCGCTCCCAGATGTCTACCTTGGAGAGAGTTGTTTTTGTAACATTGGTCTTTGGCAGTGCTGGAGTTTGAACTCCAGGGTTTTGTCCTTCTGAGCAGAGAATTTACCACAGAGCCCCCCCCCCCCGCATTTATACACACGCATGCGCACACGCCAACATGCTGTACATATATGTGACTGCGTGTGCGCAAGCACATACACATAGGCACACACACACATACTTGTGCGCTGGTCCTGGGACATGAACTCAAGGCCTGGGCGTTGTCCCTGAGATCTTTTAGCTCAAGACTGGTGCTCTACCACTTGAGCCGCAGCTCTCCTCTGGCTTTTGTAGTGGATCCTTAGGAGTTTCACAGGTCCGGGCGGTGGCTCCCGCCTGTCATCCCAGCTACTCAGGAGGCTGAGATCCCAGGATCACGGTTCAAAGCCAGCCCAGCCAGGAAAGTCCATGGGACTCTTATCTCCAATGAACCACCAGAAAACCAGAAGTGGCACCGTGGCTCAAGTGGTAGAGCGCTCGCCTTGAGCTGAAGAGCTGAGGGACAGCGCCCAGGCCCAGAGTTCAAGACCCATGACCAACCAAAAATAAAAGTTTCACAGGCACTTTCCTGGCCAGGCTGGCTTTGAACCGGGCTCCTCAGATCTCAGCCTCCTGAGTAGCTGGGGTGTCAGGCGGGAGCCGCAGGTGCCACCCGTGACTTTTTAGGGGACCCCACCATGCAGTGTGCCGTGTGTGTGTGTGTGTGTGTGTGTGTGTGTGTGTGTAACTGGGTGGCATGTTGCGTCCTCCCCGTCCTCAGCCGCGTGGGTCCTAGCTGTCCTGCGGGGGGGGGAGGTGGCCCCCAGCTCTGTCCCCATGTCCCCCTCCGCTGGGCCCCTGGCCCTGGCCTCCCCGTTGGTGGCAGGACTGGGAGCAGCACTTCCTGGACGCCAGCGCGCCGAGCGACTGGAACAGCGAGTTGGACGGGGACTGGCAGGCGGCCATGCTGCAGAAGCCTCCGTACCAGGTGCGCCCCCCCCCCTTTCCCTGGGATTGGGGCGCCCTCGCCCGGCCCGGCCCCTCACCCCGCGGCCCCCGCTGCAGGACGGCCTGAGGGCCGAAGGCATCGATCGGGATGTGTGGCTCCACAAGAAGATGCAGTCGGCCAGCTACCTGCTGCAGCAGGACCTCTTGGAGTTCGAGAACATCGGCGCCATCGGCCTGGAGCTTTGGCAGGTGACGGGCACTGCACACTGCGCAGCCTCCGCCCCCAGCCCCCGCCGCCATGCTGCTGTCCTCCCCTCCCTCTCTCTCTCTCTCTCTCTCTCTCTCTCTCTCCCCCCCCCCCCCCTCGGCAGTACTGGGATTTGAACTCTACCATTGGGCCAGGCCCCCCTCCAGCCCTTTTTGCTTTCCTTGTTTTTCAGATCAGCCTCACACTCTTGCCTTGCCTGGGATGGGTCTGGGACCAGGATCCTCCCACCTCTGCCTCATTTGGCTGAGGTGATAGGTGTGCTCCACACTCGACTTGCTGTTTGACACAGGGTCTTTTTTACCTCCCCCCACCCCCCAATCAATTGTGGGGCCTGAACTCCGGGCCTGGGCGCTGTCCCTCAGCTCCTCAGCTCAAGGTTGGCACTCTACCACTTGAGCCACAGCGCCACTTCTGGTTTTCTGGTGGTTAATGGGAGATAAGGGTATCATGGACTTTCCTGCCCAGCCTGGCTTTGAACCGTGATCCTTAGATCTCTTGAGTAGCTGGGATGACAAGCGTGAGCCACCGGCACTGGCGTTGGTCTTGATCCTGGACTTAAACTTAGGACCTGGGTGTTGTTGTCCGTGAGGTATTTTGCTCAAAGCTGGCGCTTTACCACCAGAGCCAGAGCTCCCCCTGTGGCTCTTTGCTGTTTAATTGGGGACTTTCTGGCCTGGTTCCAAATCATGATCCTTACAGCTCAGCTGGGATTACAGGTGTGCGCACCTGCACCTGGTGGCACTGGCGATATCTCACGCCCGTGTTTGATTGGGTGCTGGGGCCTTAACCAGGGGCTTCAGTCCCACTGCCGTCCAAGGAGAGCCAACCACTGGCTCCACCCCGAGCTAAACAAAGTCAACCACCACCCCAGCCACGGAGGTGAGCATGACAGGATCGCAGCCACCCACTGTGTGCAGCAGGTCCATGCCAGCGCCCTGCACGGAGCACAGCACCGAGTGCCCGCCCTTCCCTGCAGGTGAGATCTGGAACCATTTTTGATAACTTCCTGATCACTGATGATGAAGACTATGCGGTGAAGTTCGGCAAGGCCACCTGGGGTGAGACCAAGGTAGGCCCACGTCGCCCCCCACCCGGTCTTCACACCAGCCCCCCATAAGAACGGGAACAGGTCGCCACGTGGAGGCTTCCGCCTCTGGGCCCTGTCATGGGGGAATGTGGCCAAGCAGAGGGAGAGAGAGGTGGAGTCCCTGGAGGCCATGCCCCCAATCTCCTCCTGCCAGGTCCCGCCTCATTTTTCCTTTTTGTTGGTCCTGGGCCTAGAACTCAGGGCCTGGGCTCTGTCCCTGAGCTCTTTGGCTCAAAGTCTAGTGCTCTGCCTCTTCCAGCCACAGTGACATCTCCAATTTTCTGGTGGTTTGTTGGGGATAAGAATCTCATGGGGTCTGGGAAGGTGGCTCAGTGGTAGAGCGCTTGCCTTGCATGCTTTAGGCCATGGGTTCGATTCCTCAGCACCACATAAGCAGAAAAAAAAGGCAGAAGTGGCACTGTGGCTCAAGTGGTAGAGCGCTAGCCTTGAGCTGAAGAGCTGAGAGACAGCACCTAGGTCCAGAGTTCAAGACCCATGTCCAACCAAAAAACAAAAAATGATCTCACAGACTCCTGCCCAGGTTGACTTTGAACTGTGACCCTCAGATGTCAGCCTCCTGTAGCTGAGAGTTCAGACGTGGCCACTGGTGCCCGGCGAGGCTGGCCTCTTTTTTTTTGTCGGCCGTGGGGCCTGAACTCTGGGCCTGGGCGCTGCCTACCACTTGAGCTTCAGCGCCACTTCCGGTTTTCTGGTGGTTTATTGGAGATAGGAGTCTCACGGTCTCTCCTGCCCGGGCTGGCTTTGAACCGCGATCCTCAGATCTCAGCCTCCTGAGTAGCTAGGATTACAGGCGTGAGCCACCAGCGCCCGGTGAGGCTGGCCTCTGGCAGGGCCCGGTGCCTCTCAGGAGCCTCTTGCTGGAGTTCCAGCCTGTTGCTCGCTGGCCTCTGGGGGCCACTGATTTAAACCTCAGCAGGAAGCATGAGCATTTCCTCTTTCAGATTCCTTCCTATTTTAGGGCACGCAGCAACACTTATAGAGGGCGCGTGCCCGCCTCTGTGCATTTGGTTTGGGCGCTCCTGAGTGAAGCCGTTCTGGGCACTTTTGGGCTGTAGTCCCCTTGTTATTTCAGGAGAGATGAGTATGTTATCATGGGAGAAGCTGGGTCACCGTCCCACCCAGCCTTCCAGATGCTGGGCTTTTTCCTGCCTTACAAAGTTCTCATTTGTTAACAATATTAACAATAATAGCTTTACAATAATAGATTAACGATAATAGTTAATAGTAAAGTAGAATAATGATAACAGTGTGGTTTTGAGTGATTACTTGGAGAGAAGTCTCGCAGGGGCTTTTCTGCCTGGGCTGGCCTCAGACTGTCATCCTCAGATCTCAGCCTCCTGAAGAGCTAGGGCCACTGGCTCCCAGTTTGCCAGGACTTTTCCCCACAGAGGGTGGCATGTCCAGACTTCCAGCCTATGGATTAGGGTCTTCTAATCTTTAGGGCCACATATTCACTTTACCTCAGGTTAGTATGGAAGCTTCTGGAAGGTAGAGGCAGTTTTTTGGGTTTTTTTGGCCAGTCCTGAGGCTTGAACTCAGGGCCTGGGCACTGTCCCTGAGCTACTTTTTGCTCAAGGCTAGTGCTCTACCACAGGCTGAACCACAGGCTTTGTTTTTCACTTATGTGGTGCTGAGGACTCGAACCCAGGGCTGCATGCATGCCAGGCGAGCGCTCCACCACTGAACCACCTTCCCAGCCCCCAGATTGACTCCGGACACTCCCTCGATCCCCTGTGAGCATACACTTGCCTTGGCTTCTTCCTCCAGGGTCCAGAGAGAGAGATGGACGCCATCCAGGCCAAGGAGGAGCTGAAGCAGGCGCGGGAGGAGGACGAGCAGGAGATGCTGTCGGGCAAGTTCCTGGGGCGGGACGGCCACTTCAGCCAGTTCCACAGGCGGGAGGGCCTCTAGCCGCAGCCCGCGGGGAGTCTGCGGCGAGGCCCCGCTTTGGCCTTCACCCACTTTTAAAAGCTCATCTCTATGTAGTTATTTGTCCAGTTTTCTTTGCAAAAAATGCTGCCATGCTTCTGGGTAGGGTGATGGCCGCCCGGGCTGCCCACCGCGACGCCCACACGCAGCCTGCGCCCCGCCCGAAGCCGCAGGCCAGGGCCTGGCGCAAACACGGCGTTCTGCTATTGGCAATGCTGGTTTGAACCGGGACCCTGCGTTTGCCCAGCAGGCGCTCTACCATTGAGCTATGCCACCACTTCTGTTTCCAGTATGCCTCCAGTAGGTCTTGCTTTTCGTCTTGGCTGGCCAGGATGGGACCATTCCTATTGACTGTTTCCACAAACTGACAAAGATAGACTCCTGCCAGCACACCCTGTTCATTTTTGTGCCTGAACTGGGCCTTGAACTCAAGGCCTTGTGCTCTTGTTTGGCCTTTCTTCTCAAGACTAGTGCACTACCACTTGAGCCACACCTCCAGGTGTGGCTTTTTGCTGGTTAATTGGAGGTAAGAATCTCTGCCTGGGTTTATCTGCCCCAGCTGGCTTTGAACCACCGTCCTCAGCTCTCAGCCCCTTGAGTTGCTAGGATGAGATGTATGAGCCACTGGTGCCTGGCATTATTTATTACTCTTTATGTTATTTATTTATTTTGTCGGTCGTGGGGCTTGACCTCTGGGCCTGGGTGCTGTCCCTCAGCTCTTTAGCTCAAGGTGAGCGCTCTACCACTTGAGCCACAGTGCCACTTCATTTTCTGGTGGTTTACTGGAGATAAGAGGTTCACGGACTTTCCTGCCCGGGCTGGCTTTGAACTGTGATCCTCACATCTCAGCCTCCTTTGTAGCTAGCTGAGTAGCTAGGATGACAGGGGTGAGCCACCACCCCGGCTATATTTTACTTTTATGTCTCCAACTCAGACAGCAGAGCACCCAGGGGCTGACATCGTGACAAGGTTTGAGGAAGGAATTTCTCACCTGGTCTGAAAGATTTTTCTTTCCTTTTTTTTTTTTTTTTAAGTTCCCTACTTAGATATTCAGCTTCTAATTGATTGAGATCTGACTCTCATCCACTTTTCGTCCGGGCAGGCCTGGAATTGCAATTGGCTGCATGATTTCAGCCTCTGAGTAGCTAGGATTCCAGGTGTAAGCTGTAATCTTAACTCCTTACATGTTTTTATAAAATAAAAGTCAGTAAAATGCATGAAAAAAGAATGCTTTATTTCTTCTGCTTGTAAATCAACTCATAGTCATGCACTCTATGTGTGTGTGTGCGCGCGCGTGCAGGGGTGCGTGTTCCAGTGTTGGGGATTGAACTCGGGGCCAGGGCACTGTCCCTAAGCCTTTGTGTCCAAAGCTGCCACTTTACCACTTTCCAGCTTTTTGGTGGCTAATTGGACATAAAAGTCTCAGGGACTTTCCTGCCAGGAATGTCAGGCTGGCTTGGAACTACGGTCTTCAGAGCTCAGCCTCCTGTAGCTGGGGTTGCAGGCGCGAGCCACCGGCGGGCGCCCAGCAGCCAGGCAACTTTTAAAACAGGGTGTCATTCATTTAGTTACTTTGTTGTGTTGGAGGTAAAACCCAGGGCCTCACATGCTGGGCAAATGTCCTCCCACCGCGGAGCCACGCCTCTTCAGGTGGCCACGCCCCCGCTCGGGGCACGCCCCCAGCGTTGGGCCACGCCTCTACAGGTGGGCCACGCCCCCGCTCTGGGGGCACGCCCCCAGTGTTGGGCCCCGCCTCTACAGGTGGGCCACGCCCCCGCTCTGGGGGCACGCCCCCAGTGTTGGGCCCCGCCTCTACAGGTGGGGCACGCCCCCAGTGTTGGGCCCCGCCTCTACAGGTGGGGCACGCCCCCAGTGTTGGGCCATGCCTCTACAGGTGGGGCACGCCCCCAGTGTTGGGCCACGCCTCTACAGGTGGACCACGAGCCACGCCCTGCGCTCAGACACGCCCCCAACCTTGGGCCACGCCCCACAAGCCTCGCCCCAGCTCTGGACCACGCCTCTTCGGGTGGCCACGCCCCCAGACCCTTTCTTTTGAAATGCTTGCGGTTCTGGAAGTGGGAATCACCAATTGTTCAGCTGCTGTTATAAAGGTGACCCCGAGGCGGCGCGGGCAGTGAGCGCAGTTCTTTGGGACGGAGGTTTTGGCAGAAGGTGGTGTAGAGAGAACGAACGTCCTGGCGCTGGCTCCCATCCCAAGCCCGGCTTTCCACCGGCGGCCCGGAGCCCAAAGCAGCCAGGGCCTTTCATCCCGGGCCGGCCGCCGGCGCTCCAGCTCAGAGAGGTGTGCCTCGTGTCTCAGGCCTGCAGTGAATATCTTCCCCTGGTGGTTTTTTAGCTGAGGCTTGTTTTGGTCTGAGACCGTGGTAGGAACCTGAGTAGTTGTTTCTCGGCGGGCGCTCTACCGCCCGAGCCTCGCCCCCACGTCTGGCCGCCCGCGTTTCAGCTGGACACGAGAGCGTGCCCCGGGTGTGGCTGCCCGGCTGGCCCGCCCCCGCCCCGGTGAGCCGCCGCGCCCCGCTCCGCCCGCCTCGCGGAGGATCTGCGGTGTCGCCGGCTTCCAGCCGCCTCGCGCTCCCAGTCTGCCCCGGAGACCTGCGGACTCCGCTCCCCAGGCCGCGCTGCCAGAGCTGCAGGCCGCACTCACGGTCCACACCTCCAGAGTCCGAGCTCGGGACACCCTGGGACGCCCGCAGCTCCCGCCCCGCCGCCCCGCCGCCCCGCCGCCCCGCCGCCCCGCCGCCCCGCCGCCCCGCCGCCCCGCCGCCCCGCCGCCCCGCCGCCCCGCCGCCCCGCCGCCCCGCCGCCCCGCCGCCCCGCCGCCCCGCCGCCCCGCCGCCCCGCCGCCCCGCCGCCCCGGGTGTAGCTGCAGGCGCGAGGCCCCGCCCCGCCCCGCCCCGCCCCCCAGACGCTTCCGCGCACGCGCCCCTCGGCCCGGGCTCCGCCCCCGCCTGGGAGGGGCTGCGCGCGCACCGTCCCCGTCCCAGTGCGCACGCGCGGCGGGGCCCCGCCCACTCCTCCCCGTTTCCCCGGGCGCTGGGAGCCCGAGTCGGCGGGAAGATGGCGGCGCCGCTCATCCCCCTCTCCCAGCAGGTACGGGCGGGGCGCCGGCGAGGAGCGGCGCGGGGCCGCGGCGCGGAGGCCGCGCGGCGTGAGCTCGCCGGGGCGCGGGGGGGCGGCGGCGGGGGGCGGCGCGGACGGCCCCGCGGCGCGGCCCTGAAGGTGACAGGCCGGCGCGGCCCGCGGCCTCCGGCGCCCGGCGGCCTCCGCGGGCGGCGACCCCGCCGGGGCCGCGGCGCTCGGGGGGCTCCGCCCGGAGGCCGCCGCGCCCGGGCCCCGCGGGCCGCGCCGCCGCCTGCGGTCTTTGTCTCCCGCGGGGGTCCCGCACCGGAGCGGAGCCGCGCGAGGGGCCGTCCCGGCGCCGGGCCTCGGGTCCGCGGGCTCGCGGGCCGGCCGCGGCCGCCGCCGTGCCAGAGATGATGAGGATGAGGATGAGGATGACGGCGCGGGCGATGGTGACGGTGGCGGTGACGGCGATCGCAGCCGGGAGCGGGCCGCTGTGCGTTCCGGGGCAGGTTTTCATTCATTGGTCCCTCCGTCCCTGCCGGGGAGACCGGCGCCGGGAGCGCAGCCCCGTCACCCGGACGGACGGACGGACGGACAAGGTCGCCGCCGTCCCGGAGGTGACTGTGGTCCGTGTCCCGCGACCCCGAGCCGCCCGCGTCGCGCCCGAGCGCTCTGCCCCCCCCCAGCGCCATGACTCAGACCCGGGTGGTGGGCACGGTGTTTGTTTGTTTGTTTGTTTGGTGTCCGTGTGCCCGTCCCGGGGTTTGAAGTCAAGGTCTGGGCTCAGCTCAGCACTTTTATTTATGTATTTTTGCACCGGACGGGCGCCCCACCACCCCTGAGCCACAGGCCCGCGGTGGCTTTTTGCTGGTTAACTGGAGATAAGAATCTCACCGACCACCCAGGCTTTGAACCGCGATCCTCGGACCCCAGCCTCCCTTCCCGCCTGCAGCCTTTCCTTCTCCTGAGCACCCGTGGGTGGAGCGCTCGCTCCTCTTTGGGGTGTCAGGGCCGTGGGTGACATGAAGGTTAAACACGGCATGTAGGCCCAGCGTCTGGTCATTCGGCCTCTAGGTGCTCGTGGAGCAGAGATCAGAGCTGGTACTAATAGCCAACCTGGCGGGTGTTGACAGGCTGGTTGACTACGGGTCACCTGAGGAGGAAGCCCATGCTTGTGAAGTCTTGCAAGAACTGGCCAGTTTACAAGGCTGTTAGTTAATTAATAAGGCTGAAGAGCTGGTGGTTATTAATTAACAGCTGCTTCTAACCTACACCTTAGTGCTCAGTAAAATGGGAAGTGTCCTACAGATACTGGAGGTTACTTGAGTCTTGCTATTTTGCCCAGACTGGTGTTGAACTCTTGACCTCCTGGTTCTGCCTCTCAAATAACACACATACACACACGTGCCGGGCCTGAGACACGAACTGCAGGCCTAGGCGCTGTCCCTGAGCTTTTTCACTGGACTCTGGCACTCCGCTACTTGATCCATGACTATACCTTTGGCTTTTTGTTGTTGTTGGCTGTGGGGCTTGAACTCTGAGTTTTCTGGTGGTTCATTGGAGATAAGAGGCTCATGGACTTTCCTGCCCAGGCTGGCTTTGAACCTCGATCCTCAGATCTCAGCCTCCTGAGTGGCTGGGATGCCAGGCGGGAGCCAGGGGTGCTGGCTTTTGTTTTGTTTTGTAGTTAATCAAGAGGTAAGTCTCCCAGCTGTTCCTGACGGGGCTGGCTTTCAACTTCAGTCCTCAAATCTCAGCCTCTTGAGCCGCTGGGATTCCAGGTTGGGCCGCTGGCACCCAGCTCAGAGTTTCCTTCATTTGAGGGGCTCTTCTTCAAACGTGCTGGTTTTTGCGAGGTGCTGGGGCGTGCACTCAGGGCCTCTGCCCTTGCTTGGCTTTTTCTCTCAAGGTTGGCGCTCTGTCACTTGAGCCACAGCTCCACTTCTGGCTTTTTGGTGGTTCATTGAAGACAAGAGTCTCAGCCTTTCCTGCCTGGGCTGGCTTTGAACCTCGATCCTCAGAGCTCAGCCCCCTGAGTGTCGGGGATTATAGGCGTGTGAGTCCCCAGCTTCTGCTTCCTGTCTAATTTTGACACCAGTGCTAATTTGGCCTCTGTCAGCGGCCGCAGCTGGTGTTTGTGGGTGCGTCCCGTGCCCGCACTCTGCCTGGGGGAGGAGGGCTCTCGCGCTGTCGTGCGGTGGTTTGAGGTCCAGGGACATGTGTCGCTGGGAGGTGACTGGGAGTCGGGGCCCTGGCTCCTGCTTTGAGCCTTCGCAACAGACTTGGTTTCCTTTTGCTCTGTGTCAGTACTGGGGCTCGAACTCAGGGCCTCATGGCACCGGCAGCCACGCGTGCCGCGCTGCTCTTCCTCAGCCCCGGCCGGATGGCCGCTGCCCTCCTGTGCCTTCCCAGAGGCCTGGCAGCGCCCCACGCCGCCATCTGTGTCCCCGCCCTGGGCCCTGCAGGAGCTGTGAACCCCGGAGCCCCAGACCCGCAGGGAGCGCACTCCGGCCTCAGTGTCCGGCCCCAGGGAGTGCCAGAGAGGAGTCAGCCCCTGTTTTGGAAGCTTCTCCTGTCCTGGCCCTCTGGCCAAGCGGCGGAAGGCAAGGCCAAGTTTCCTTCCTTTGAATAATTGTGTCCGCATGTCTCTGCGCTTTTCGGGGGGGAGGGGGGTAGTCCCGAGGCCTGAGCTGGAGCCTGGCGTGGGGCGCCGCCACCCCAGCCACACCCCCTTTTTGCTTTCTTTCTCAGCCAGGGACTAGCTTTCGGGCTCAGACCGCAGCCCTCCCAGCACGCTGCCGGCCTAGCGGGGGGTCCCAGCCACACCTGGCCTGTGGGTTGGGATGGGTGACCTTGTGACCTTGCTGCCCGTCTGGCCTCCACTGGCAATCCTCCTCATCTGCCTCTATCAGGCGCCACGCCTTTGCCTCTGCCTGGAGGCCAGGTGTGAGGCAGATGACAGCAGGAGCCGGCGGCGCTCCCTGGGGGGCAGACACGCCAGAGGGCACGGGGAAGCCGAGGCTGGTCCTGTCTCCTCAGGGCTGGGGTTACAGGCATGCTCTCCGCTCCGCTCTCCTCCGCCCTCAGTCCTCGGGGAAGATGCGGCCTCGTGGGGGGCGCTGAGCTCCTGCGGCCCGAGGCATCCCCGTCAGCCTCTCCTGCTCCTCTTCCGCCCCTGACCTCCCTGGGCGCCGCCATGTGAAGTACTGTTTCGTGTTGTTGTAAGGGTGGTGCTGGGGGGGGGGGCTGCGGGTTCACGAGTCAGCTGATGAGCGCATTTCTTTGTGGGTGGTGTCACCCCATCCCTTGCTCTCCCAGCCCCCCAACCCCGCCATCCTTTCCACACAGTGTCCACTCAGTTCCTCTTGTGGTTTTGAGACAGAATCTGGCTTGCAGTCCAGGCTGGCCTGGACCTCTCCACCCCTCCCCCCGCCCCGGCTGTCTCCTCTGCACCCCTTCTCTGCAGCCTCCTGAACCCCGAGCGCCTCCGCCCCTCTGGCTTCCTGGGGCAGGGTTCCGCCACCATGGGGGGCAGGGCCACTATTGTCGGGGGCCTCTTTGGATTTGGGGGAGCGCTGCAGCCCTGTACAGAGACAGAGGTCGGCAGGGATGAAGGGGGGACCGGGGACCCACGCTGCAGAGTGCCCACCTCCTGCTGGCATGGCCGGGGACGCGGCGTGTCCTCTGTCCTCCGGAATGCTAATGGAAGCCACCGTCCAGGGACTGGACCGGCTCAGGATTGCCGCCCGCCACCACTGACCAGCCACCTCTCGCAATGGGGCCTGCACCCCATCTGCCCAACCTCCACCCCGTGTGTGTGTGCGTGTGTGCATGTGTGTGTGTGTGCGTGTGTGTATGTGTGTGTGCGCGTGTGTGTGCGTGCATGTGTGTGTGCATGTGTGTGTGCGTGTGTGTGTGTGCGTGTGTGTGTGCGTGTGTGTATGTGTGCGTGCATGTGTGTGTGCGTGTGTGCATGTGTGCGTGTGTGTATGTGTGTGTGCGCGTGTGTGTGCGTGCATGTGCGTGTGTGTGCGTGTGTGCATGTGTGTGTGCGTGTGTGCATGTGTGTGTGCGTGTGTGTGTATGTGTGCGCGCGCGCGTGTGTGCGTGCATGTGTGTGTGCGTGTGTGCATGTGTGTGTGTGCGTGTGTGTATGTGTGTGTGTGCGCGTGTGCATGTGTGCGTGCGTGTGTGCGCGCGCGTGTGTGTGTGTGTGCATGTGTGTGTGTGTGCGTGTGTGTGTGCGTGCGTGTGTATGCGTGTGTGCGCGCATGTGTGTGCGTGTGTATGTGTGTGTGCGCGTGTGTGTGCGTGCATGTGTGTGTGTGTGCATGTGTGTGTGTGTGCGTGCGTGCATGTGTGTGTGTGCGTGTGTGCATGTGTGTGTGCGCGTGTGTGCGTGCATGTGTGTGTATGTGTGTGTGCGCGTGTGTGCGTGTGCGTGTGTGTGTTGCTCATGGGGCTTGCACTCACTTGGCTTTTTCACTCATATCTGGTGCTCTACCACTTGAGCCATGCCTCTCCTTCTGGCTTAAAAAAATTATTTTTTCTTTTTTTCTGTCGGTTGTGGGTCTTGAACTCTGGGCCTGGGCGCTGTCCCCCAGCTCTTCAGCTCAAGGCGAGCATCATAGCACTTGAGCTACAGCGCCACTTCCAGGTTTCTGGTGGTTCCTTGGAGATAAGAATGTCACAGCCTTTCCTGCCCAGGCTGGCTTTGAACCATGATCCTCAGATCTCAGCCTCCCGAGTGGCTGGGATGACAGGCGTGCGCCTCTGGCACCCGGCTCATTATTTTGATTTTTAATTCCGGTACTGGTCGCTCTCACGCTCGGCCCCCCACCGGAGCCCCACCCCAGCCTTGTGTGTGCACGGCGCTTCGTGTTTTCCAGCCTCTCTGTGGGACCCTGGCCGGCCTGGACCTCCAAACCTCCTGCCCCAGCCTTCCAAGGGCTGGGATTATAGGCCGGCACTATCAGACACTGGTTATTTGGGGGGTGATCTGTTTTTCCTCCCACCCAAGCATGGTCCTCAGGCCTGGGCCGTGCTTCCTTTGTTCGCTGGGGAGAGGCGTGTGTCGGTGGGGGGGGTTGGGGGAGCGTGGACCGGTGCTGTGCGGGGCTCTGGGAGCAGTGTGAATCGGTGGCGGGGTTTCCACGAGCAGCACCGGCTCCTGGCTTGTGTGCGGTGATGAAGAGGATGGGCAGGCCTTCAGGAAGGATGTATGTGAGGGGGATGCTCGCACGGACTTTTGGGGGGCCAGGACAGCTGCAGGGGTGCACAGCGGTACGGGGGGCTGCGTCTCCACAGGGCCGCCGCCTCGGGCCTGGGCACCGGCGGGCAGCGGATGTGTCCACTCACGGCCAAGGCCGCTGCCCCTGTGGCCCAGGCCCCCGCGGGGTCTCCTCCCAGCCCCTGCCCGCGCCCCAGAGCCGCCTGCAGCTCTTCCCACCCTGCGTCCTGCTTCCTCACATCCCCGCCGTCTTCCTGCGCCGCGTACCCCCCCGCGGGGTGCTCTTCATCTGCACTGTTACTGGCTTTGGGGTCCTGGGGTGGAGCCAGGGCCCTGATGGTGGCAGGCACGTGGCAGCCTGGCCAGGCCTCACACACGTGCACCACGCACCGCGGCGGTGCCGGGTCTGTATCAGAAGGAATCCCACTCATGTCTGTTGATGCTGGAGGAGCTGACGCCCCGTGGAGTGGGGGCAGCCCGGAAACCCAAGCAAAAGCGTGATCCGCCTGCAAAGCTCCTCGCTGCAGTGAACTTGACCCCAGGTAGCTACCCAACCCGGGCCTTGCCAAGCACACGCTCAGCATGGTGCGTGTGTGTGCACCTGCGTGTGTACACGCTCATACACTGCTACTGGGGCTTGAACTCAGGGCCTGGCGCCGTCCCCGAGCTTTTGTGCTCAGAGCTGATGCCCGGCCATTGGAGCACAGCTCCACTTCCAGTTTTTGCTGGTTCATGGGAGATCAGAGTCTCACAGACTTTCCTGCCCAGGCCGGCTTTGACCGCCATCCTCAGATCTCAGCCTCCTGAGTAGCTAGGATGACAGGGTGAGCCGCCAGCGTCCTCTCCTGGCGTATTTTGTCACTGCAGCCCGGGCTGCATCAGGATTTCAGGCCGCCTCGCAGCCTGGCTCCTGTCTTGAAAAAGGGAAAACGCGCATGCACGGGACGGCGCGGGTCTTACACAGGCTCCTTCAGGCACAGTTCCGAAGCCATTACCAGCTGCTTGGTGGCGGCTTGGCACAGCCTGGCGAGTGCTGGCACCCTGTCCTCTACCCCACGGGTGAGGGCTTGCTTGGGCTCAGGCACGGAAGGCGGCTGGCAGCCCCGCGAGGACTCTTTCTGGCTTGGGGACCGCCGTCTGAGCCCCGTCTGTGCCCAGGTCTCTGCTCACGTCTGGCCGGGGGGACAGTGTGTTGTCAGAGTGCCAGCCGGGAGGTGGCCGACGCGGTCATCCTGCCACCCAGGCTTCCGCCCCCCAGCCTGCAAGGCTGTCAGGGCTGTCCACAGGGCCCCTGTGTCCCGCCCCCCCCCGCCCCCCCCCCCCCCCCGCTCCTCCCGGCCTCCTCAGCAGCAGGTGCTGCAGACTGAGCACCCAGGTGGGGTCGTGGCTCTGCTGACCTTGCCTCTTTGGGGTTTTTTGTCAGTCCCAGGATTTGAACTTAGGGCCTGGACACTGTTCCTGAGGGTTTTTTTTTTGCCCAAGGCTAGCAATCTACCACTTGAGCTGTGGCGCCACTTCCAGATTTTTCTGTGTATGTGGTGCTGAGGAATCAAACCCAGGGCCTCATGCATGCGAGACAAGTGCTCTCCCACTGAGCCACAGCGCCACTTCTGGTTTTCTGTTGGTTTATTGGAGATAAGAGTCTCGGGGACTTTCCTGCCCGGGCTGGCTTTGAACCGTGATCCTCAGATCTCAGCCTCCTGAGTAGCTGGGATGACGGGCGTGAGCCAGAGTGCACCGTCATCATCACCCGCCACCCCCGTGTGTGTGCACGTGTGTGTGCATGCGTGTGTGCGTGCGTGCGCGCGTGCGTGTGTGTGTGCGTGCGTGTGTGTGCGTGCGTGCGCTCCGCGGGTCGCCCGTGCTGAGGCAGGCTTGTGGAGCGCGCCCTGACCCTGCTGTGCTTTCTTTCACAGATTCCCGGTGGGAATCCGCTCTACGAGTCCTACTACAAGCAGGTAGGCACAGTCCCCACCCTGCCCCGGCAGCCCGGCCACGCCACCCCGCACGCCCCGCCGCTCAGCGCACCTTGCCCCCTCCAGGTGGACCCAGCCTACACCGGGAGAGTGGGGGCCAGCGAGGCCGCGCTTTTCCTCAAGAAGTCGGGGCTCTCCGACATCACCCTTGGGAAGGTATGGCGGGTGCACGTGCACATGCACGTGTGTGTGTGCGCGTGTGTGCGTGCACTCGTGGGGGAGTGTGTGAGAGTGAGCATGCGTGATTTCTCCTCCTTGGCGGCCCCCATGCTCTCCCTGGGGCTGGGCTCCTGGTGCGGCCTGGTTACCCAGGTGCGTGGTGCCCGCCTGTAATCCCCGCACGGGGAATGGGAGGCGGGAGGGCTGGGAGGGCGCTGCTGCCCCACCCCGACTCCTCGGCCATGGCCTGTGTGGCTGTGGGGCGCAGTGCCCCCCTCTTCCCCCCGCGGAGGCGTGGCGGGGTCACGGCGCCTCCGTGTCTCCGCAGATATGGGACCTGGCCGACCCAGAAGGTAAAGGGTTCTTGGACAAACAGGTATTTATTGACACGCGCGCGCAGGCGCAGGCCGGTACCGGGACCCCGGCCGCCCCCGAGGGCCGCCACCCCGTACCTCCTGCTGAGGCAGCGGTCTAACAGTCGGGGGTTCACTGTGGACCCCTTGAGTCACGCCTCCACCCCCACCCACCTTGTAAAAGCCAGCCCGGGCCGTGCGGCGCAGCCCCGCGGCGGGCCCCCCCTCGCCAGGCCCCCCCCCCCCCGTACTGCATGGAAAGCCGTGGCCCGCAGGTGCCCCATCCCTCGTTGTGGGGCGCAGGTGCGGGGGGGGTTCCCAGGCTGGGGGGGCGGGGAGGGGTCCCGTCGTGTGAGCCGCCGTCCTGGAGGTTGGAATGGACCCCACACACCTGCGGCCCCGCGCCGGCCCGCGGTGGGTGACGCGCCCTTTGGCTTGCAGGGCTTCTACGTGGCCCTCAGGCTGGTGGCCTGCGCGCAGAGCGGCCACGAAGTCGCCCTGAGCAACCTGAGTCTCACCATGCCGCCCCCCAAGTTTGTGAGTGTCCTCCCTGCACCCCAGCACGTGCGGCCGGCCTGCTCGCCACTGGCCTCTGTTTGCCCCACTGCCCCATCCCTTCCAGAACCTTCCCAGGCCCCGCGCACCCCTGTGGCACGACATCTGTGCGCGCGTCCATCCCGCAGCCTGGCAGAGGCGCAGCTTCGGCCCTCACCACAGCCCCCCCAGTCAGCGCCGCAGGCCCCTCACCCCCTGACCACAGCCGACCTCTCCTCCCCAGCACGACACCAGCAGCCCGCTGATGGCCACGCCGCCGCCCGCCGACACCCACTGGGCCGTGAGGGTAAGTCCCACCCGGAACCTCACTGGCCCGGGGCCGTTCGGTCCTGTCTAGCCCTGTCTGCAGAGTCTGGTCCTATCCGGTCTTTCCTGTCCTGTCCTGCCTTGTCCAGTCCCGTCCTGTCCTGTCTGGTTCAGCCCTGTCCTGTCCCGTCTGGTCCTGTGACCTCCGCAGTGAGGTGTGCCATCTCCAGCTGCCGCTGGGCCGCACTTGGGTTCCTGCGTCTGTGGCTCCGTGTTGCGGGGCAGCCTGGCGCAGGCTCTCCCTGCTAGGCCCCGTGCCCGCACGCTCGCTTCCCACACAGGGTCTGGCAGTGCCCTGACGCTTCGGCGTGGCTCCCATGCGCGCCTGCCCAGCCTGGGGTGAAGCCATCTGGGTTTTTTTTATTCTTTTTTATGTTTTGCCCCGGCTGGTCTTTTTCTCTTGGTGTTGTCGGTTGTGGGGCTTGAACTCTGGGCCTGGGCGCTGTCCCTGCGCTCTTCAGCTCAAGGCGAGCGCTCCACCGCTGGAGCCACAGCACCATTTCCAGTTTCCTACTGGGTCATTGGAGATAAGAGTCTCACGGTCTTCCCTGCCCGGGCTGGCTTTGAACTGTGATCCTCAGACCTCAGCCTCCTGAGTAGCTGGAATGACAGGCGTGAGCTGCCGGTGCCGGCTGCCCTGGCTGATCTCCAGCCATGATCCTCCTGCGTCAGCCTCCACAGCGCCACTACCCATGGCCATTGTTATTATTTTTTAAATTGCCATGGGGGTCTGGAACTGGGGTCCTTGTTAGCACAGGGCCGCGTGTCCCCCAGCGCCAGCCCCAGAGAGGGGTACGGGGTGTGGGGCGCGGGCTTTTATTTTCGAGAGCAGGTCCTGCTGCAGCAGACCCGTCCTCCGCCAGCTCGCGCCCCGCTGCCCCCACCCCCACCCCCTGCTCTTGCTGGTTGTTCAGAATGGAAATTGGGAGAGCCTGAGCCTGAGTGTGCATGTTTGTGTGTGTGCACGTGCGTGTGCACACGTGTGTCTGCGCATGCGTGCACACCTTCCAGTTTCTCCTGTTGCTCTCATTGGTGTGGCGCTCGCTGCTTTGCGGCCAGCGATTCCCAGCACACGCCCACTATTTGCAAAGACAAGAGGAAGGGTTCTGTGGGTGAGTACGCCTGCGGTCCCAGCCTCTTCGGTGAGGCAGGCCCATCCCGACCTTGCTCTGCTTCTGGAGGAGGTGAGGGAGCAGGCACAGGGTCCCCCCTCGCCCGGGCACCCCCCCTTTCCCGGCCGCCTCCTGAGCTGCCCCGGCCAGGCTCATGTGGCCTTCATAACTGACCCCCCAAGCCCCCTGTGATCGCGTGCACACAAACCCCGCCCCCAGGGCTCCGCGCCCATCTTCTTGCTGTTTTTCTGTTTGTGTCTGTTTTGGGGAAACAAAATCTAGCTACGCAACCCAGGCTGGCCTCGAACTTGATCCTTCTGCCTCCGCTTCCCATCCTCATTCTCACAGGGCACTTTGTTGCAGCTTTGTTCCCTGGGGTGGGTGGGGGTGGGGCGGGAGGGCGCTGGTCCGCAGGGTGGGGTGCGGGGGCTTCTCTCTGGGCAGTGCAGATGCTGCGTGGTCCTGGAAAGGGCTGCCCAGGACCCTATCCCTACTGTGCAGGGGTCCTGGCAGGTGGGGCTGGGTGTGGCAGGATGCAGTGGGAGGGGGCGTAGGGGGGGACGGGACCAGCACCACAGACCCAAGGGGGGCTCTGTTACGCACAGCCCTCCCCTTGTCTGTCTTCTCATTTTATTTTTATTTCCTTGAACTTTTTTTTTTTGGGGGGGGGGGGTCCAGTCGTGGGGCCTGAACTCTGGGCCTGGGCGCTGTCCCTCAGCTCTTCAGCTCGAGGCGAGCGCTCTACCACTTGAACCATAGTGCCACTTCTGGATTTTTTTTTTTTTTTTTGCTTATGTGGTGCTGAGGAATGGAACCCAGGGCCTCAGGCATGCAAGGCAAGCGCTCTACCACTGAGCCACCTTCCTGAAGCGAGTGCCTACACTCCTGCGTCCTAGGCAGGCTCTACCCCCTGAGCCAGCCTCCAGTCGTTTTTACTTCAGTTTTCTCTCCATAGGGCTTTGGGGTAGGCCTGGGCCATGATCTTATTTACAGTTCACACACCTCATCACCCCAGCTTTTTATTGGTTGAGACGGATGCTCGTGAACTGATCTGGCCTTGAACCAAGATCCTGCTGATCTCTGCATCTTGAATAGCAAGGATTACAGGTGTAAGCCATTGTGCTCAGCCTTGACTTTATTTTATTTTTACTGTGCTGAGGAGGGAAGCCAGGGCCTCACCCCTGTTAGTCAAAGGATTTTCCACTCAGCCATCCCCTCAGCCTCAGTGTTTCTTTTGTGCTGATACTGATTCTTGAACTCTGGGCCTGGGCGCTGTCCCTCAGCTCTTCAGCTCAAGGTGAGCGCTCTACCATTTGAGCCACAGCACCACTTCCATCTTTCTGAGCCGTTTACTGGCACGGCCTTCCCTGCCTGGGCTGGCCTTGAACCGCGGCCCTCAGATCTCAGCCTCCTGAGCAGCTGGGATGGCAGGCGCGAGCGCCGGCGCCCAGCTCTACACTTCTTTCAGCACCGGGCCACTGGAGCCACAGTTCTGCTTCTGGCTTTTTCGGTGATTCACCGGAGATGGTCTCAGCCTTCCTGCCCAGGCTTTGAACCGTCGGCCTTAGTGCTCAGCTTCCAGAGTGGCTGGACTGCAGGCGTGAGCACGCTGCCCGGCTCCCGTGTCTTCATGGCTGCAAAACGCATCTCTGTGCGGCGCCCGCCGCCCCGTCCGCGTGGAGCGTTCTCGTCTCCCAGCTCCGCGGCCGTGCGCGGCCGGCTCCAGCCGCAGGCGTGGGCCGAGGAGGGGCCGGACCCCTCGGGGCCCCAGCGGGGGCGCACGCAGGGCCGGCCGCCCCGCCCCGCCCGCCGGGGGCTCGCCCGAGGAGGGGCCGGACCCCTCGGGGCCCCAGCGGGGCGCACGCCGGGCGGGAGGACCTGGGGCTCCCGGGCCGGCCGCCCCGCCCGCGCTCAGGGCCGCTGCTCGCTGCCCCCGCAGGTGGAGGAGAAGGCCAAGTTCGACGGCATCTTTGAGAGTCTCCTGCCCATCAACGGCCTGCTGTCGGGGGACAAGGTGAAGCCGGTGCTCATGAACTCCAAGCTGCCGCTGGACGTGCTGGGCAGGGTGAGGCGCGGCCGGGCCGGGGCGGCCGGGGCCCGGGGCTCGGCGGGAGCGCACAGCCTCGGGACGGCGCCAGGCTGAGTTCGAGTCCCAGAACCAGCACGAAAGGAAACTTGAAATCAAAACCCAGTCCCACGCGCCTGCGCATGCGTGCACTCGTGGAGGCCCCTCCACCGCAGCGTGCTCGTCCACGCGCCTGCGCATGCGTGCACTCGTGGAGGCCCCTCCACCGCAGCGTGCTCGTCCACACGCCTGCGCATGCGTGCACTCGTGGAGGCCCCTCCACCGCAGCGTGCTCGTCCACGCGCCTGCGCATGCGTGCACTCGTGGAGGCCCCTCCACCGCAGCGTGCTCGTCCACGCGCCTGCGCATGCGTGCACTCGTGGAGGCCCCTCCACCGCAGCGTGCTCGTCCACGCGCCTGCGCATGCGTGCACTCGTGGAGGCGCCTGACGTTCCCCGTTCAGCTGCGCCGCTCAGGCTGGAAGGAGAGGCGGAGTCCTGTGGGCTCCTCTCTCAGCCCACGCGTGAGCGCCGCGCGCAGGCTCTGCCGATGGCACCCGGTGGGTCACAGGGCCGGCAGGGTGGGGAGAAGAGTCCTGCGTGGCCGAGGGGAGCCGAGGTTCCCAGAGCGCCCTCCTCAGCCGGGCCCTCGGGGCCGGGCGCCGCTGCCCCCCACACGGAGTGGTCTGGGTCACCCTGCACCCGCGCCCTCGCCGACCCGCCCGGCCTGTGCCCGCAGGTCTGGGACCTCAGCGACATCGACAAGGACGGCCACCTGGACCGGGACGAGTTTGCCGTGGTAGGCCCCGGGCCCCGACCCCCCACCGCCGCACAGCGCCCCCAGATGACAGGCCCCGACCCCCCACCGCCGCACAGCGCCCCCAGATGACAGGCCCCGACCCCCCACCGCCGCACAGCGCCCCCAGATGACGGGCCCCGGGCCCCGACCCCCCACCGCCGCACAGCGCCCCCAGACGACAGGCCCCGACCCCCCACCGCCGCACAGCGCCCCCAGATGACAGACCCCGACCCCCCACCGCCGCACAGCGCCCCCAGATGACAGACCCCGACCCCCCACCGCCGCACAGCGCCCCCAGATGACAGACCCCGACCCCCCACCGCCGCACAGCGCCCCCAGATGACAGGCCCCGGGCCCCCACCGCCGCACAGCGCCCCCAGATGACAGGCCCCGGGCCCCCACCGCCGCACAGCGCCCCCAGATGACAGGCCCCGGGCCCCGACCCCCCACCGCCGCACAGCGCCCCCAGATGACAGGCCCCGACCCCCCACCGCCGCACAGCGCCCCCAGATGACAGGCCCCGGGCCCCCACCGCCGCACAGCGCCCCCAGATGACAGGCCCCGACCCCCCACCGCCGCACAGCGCCCCCAGATGACAGACCCCGACCCCCCACCGCCGCACAGCGCCCCCAGATGACAGGCCCCGGGCCCCGACCCCCCACCGCCGCACAGCGCCCCCAGATGACAGACCCTGACCCCCCACCGCCGCACAGCGCCCCCAGATGACAGGCCCCGACCCCCCACCGCCGCACAGCGCCCCCAGATGACAGACCCCGACCCCCCACCGCCGCACAGCGCCCCCAGATGACAGGCCCCGACCCCCCACCGCCGCACAGCGCCCCCAGATGACAGGCCCCGGGCCCCCACCGCCGCACAGCGCCCCCAGATGACAGGCCCCGACCCCCCACCGCCGCACAGCGCCCCCAGATGACAGGCCCCGGGCCCCCACCGCCGCACAGCGCCCCCAGATGACAGGCCCCGGGCCCCGACCCCCCACCGCCGCACAGCGCCCCCAGATGACAGGCCCCGGGCCCCGACCCCCCCCCCCCCCACACAGAGCCCCCAGGTGACAGACCCCGAGCCCCACCACTGCACAGCGCCCCCAGGTGACAGACCCTGGGTCCCGATGGCCCCCAACCCACAGATGCACAGTGCCTCCAAATGACAGACCCTGGGCCCTGACCCCTCCCACACACACAGAGCGCCCCGCGGTGACAGACCCCGGGCCCCGACACCCCCTCCCACACACACAGAGCCCCCAGGTGACAGACCCCAGGCCCCGACACCCCCCCCAGCCGCACAGTGCCCCCAGATGGCAGACCCCGGGCCCTGGATGGCCCCACACCAAGTGGCAAGGCACAGACCTGTAGTCCCCGCGCCCGGTTGGGTGGCACGGAGCCTCAGAGCCGGGACGCCGGCTAAGCACAGGCGCTGCAGGAGTGGCCCCGCCTTGTAGAACTTTTTGGGTTGTATGTCTGGACCCTGAAGAGACTGAGGAGGGGCAAAGCCTCAGGTGCAGAGGGCGGCTTGGCCGTATGTCCTGGCGCCTGCAGCCCCTGCACAGACAGCGGGACGCCCCACAGGGACCAGGGGCGGGCCCCACGGAGGGGGGCGTGCCCTCACCCCGTGGTCTGGCCCACAGGCCATGCACTTGGTGTACCGGGCGCTGGAGAAGGAGCCGGTGCCCTCCGCGCTGCCCCCCACCCTCATCCCGCCCTCCAAGAGGAAGAAGGCCGTGTTCCCCGGCGCCGTGCCCGTGCTGCCCGCCAGCCCCCCGCCCAAGGACAGCCTGCGCTCCACGCCCTCCCACGGCAGCGTGAGCAGCCTCAACAGCGCGGGCAGCCTGTCCCCCAAGCACGGCGTCAAGCAGCCGCAGGTAACGCGCCGCCAGGCCTGTCCAAGCACCAGGGTCTGGACTCGCGGCCTCGGCTTGCCCAGTGGGCGCGCCGCCGCTGCGGGCCGCGTGTCTGCAGAGGGCCTCGCTTCCCCCCTGCTGCGCCCGGCCTCCACCTGCTTGTCTTGCGGCTCACGTCTTAGCACTGTGCCCGGCACTCTCGAGAAGAGGGTCTCGTGAGCGTTTGTGTCCAGGCTGCCTTTGAACAGCGATCCTCCCATTCTCCCTAGCAGCAAGGGTTACAGCCATGACTTAGGATGAGATAGGTGTTCTTTCTCTCTCTCTCCCCCTCTCTCTTCCCCCCTCCCTCTTCCCCCCTCCCTCTCTCTCTCTCTCTGCCTTAGTGCTTGAACTTAGGGCCTGGGCGCTGTCCCTCAGCTCTTCATCTCAAGGTGAGCACTCTACCACTTGAGCCACAAGCCACTTTTGGTTTTCTCCTGGTTTATCAGAGATTAAGACTCTGAGCGATTATCCTGCCCAGGCTGGCTTTGAGCCTTGATTCCCAGCTCTCAGCCTCCTGAGTAGCTGGGATGTGAGGCGGGAGCCCCTGACACCTGGCTAGTGTCATCTGGCATCAGCGCTCTGGCATGCAGCACCTTCGCCGTTTCCTGTGCGGTAGTGGAGTCCCTCGGCCTCCTGATTTACAAAGAACAAAGGCTCAGCCGGGGGCCGGGCCTCATGGCTGTCATCCAGGCTGCCTGGGAGGCGGAGATGGGAAGGACGGTGTCTGAGGCCAGCCTGCAGAGGCCGGCGGCGCGGGCCTGCAGCCCAGCAACAACGGGAAGGCCAAAACTAGGCCAGCATAAAGCAGGAGTGGGGCCTAGCTCCAGTGGTGCAGGGCCCTGAGCGAGGGCGCAGGCCAGGCCCGCCCTCCAGGCTCCATGTGCCAGGGAGGCTGGGCGTTGCGTTGCCGGGATCGCAGGCCTGTGCTGCCCTGCCCGGCTTGCGTGCCTGCTCCTAGGAAACCAGGGCAGGTGGTGCCGGAGGCCAGGGCCGTGTGCGTGGCCTCCAAGCTCACCCCCCGCGCTCCTGCTTTCCCCGCACCTGTTGGGGGGGGGGGGAGGCGCGTCACTTCCAGTGCGGGGTCAGGGCCGGCCGAGGCGCCCCTCAGTGCCACAGTGCGCAGGTGTGGGCGGGGTGCTGGGGCGGGGCTAAGGCCTGCGAGGGGCTGGGGGCGGGGCTAAGGCCTGCACGGGGGAGAGGGGCGGGGCTAAGGCCTGCATGGGGAGAGGGGCGCTGGGGCGGGGCTAAGGCCTGCACGGGGGGAGAGGGGCGGGGCTAAGGCCTGCATGGGGAGAGGGGCGCTGGGGCGGGGCTAAGGCCTGCGGGGGCGGGGCTAAGGCCTGCGGGGGCGGGGTGCTGGGGCGGGGCTAAGGCCGCCCTCCCCTTGCAGCCGGCCGTGGCCTGGGTGGTGCCCGTGGCGGACAAGCTGCGCTTCGACGAGGTCTTCCTGCAGACCGACCTGGACCTGGACGGCTATGTGAGCGGCCACGAGGTGAAGGACATCTTCATGCACTCCGGCCTCACCCAGAGCCTGCTGGCGCACATCTGGTGAGGCGCGGGCCCGGGGTCAGGGTCAGCCTCCCCCCCTCCACCCCGCGGCGCTGGCCTCCGCCCGGGCCCCGCCAGGCTCCGCGCGGCGCGGCGGGGCTGTGCTCCCAGCGCCCACGGAGGAGGCCCGCGGCCTCCCTCCCTCAGCGCAGGGGCGCGGGGTGTGCCGGCTCTGTGACGGGCCCCCCAGACTCGGACCCCCCTCGCCCGCCTCAGCCCCAAGTAGCGGGGTGCGGGTGCCCCCTGGCCGGTCAGGAGCTGAGGACACCCCTGTGGGCCGGCCCGGCGCCCCTCCGCTGGCCGGCGTGGGGCCCGGGCGGAGGCCGAGGCCGGCCCGCGGTCTGGCGCTCCGTGTGTAACCGCACCCCACGTTTCTCCAGGGCCCTGGCCGATACGAGGCAAACGGGGAAGCTAAGCAAAGACCAATTCGCGCTCGCTATGTATTTCATTCAGCAGAAGGTCAGCAAGGGCGTGGACCCGCCGCAGGTCCTCTCGCCGGACATGGTCCCGCCCTCGGAGAGAGGCGCGCCCCTGCCGGTGAGTGCGCCCCGCCCCGCCTCCTCGCGACCCCGACCCCCCTCTGTGCCCCAGCCACGCCCCGCCTCCCCGGCCGACCCCGACCCCCCTCTGTGCCCCAGCCACGCCCCGCCTCCCCTGCCGACCCCGACCCCCCTCTGTGCCCCAGCCACGCCCCGCCTCCCCGGCCCGACCCCGACCCCCCTCTGTGCCCCAGCCATGCCCCGCCTCCCAGGCCCGACCCCCCTCTGCAACAGGCCACGCCCCCGCTCCCTGTGGTCCCGGACCCGACCCCCCTCTGCCCCAGGCCACGCCCCCGCTCCCTGTGGTCCCGGACCCGCCCCCGCTGTGCCCCAGGCCACGCCCCCGCTCCCTGTGGTCCGTACCCGCCCCCGCTGTGCCCCAGGCCACGCCCCCGCTCCCTGTGGTCCCGGACCCGCCCCCGCTGTGCCCCAGGCCACGCCCCCGCTCCCTGTGGTCCGGACCCGCCCCCGCTGTGCCCCAGGCCACGCCCCCGCTCCCTGTGGTCCCGGACCCGCCCCTGCTCTGTGCCCCAGGCCACGCCCCCGCTCCCTGTGGTCCGGACCCGCCCCCGCTGTGCCCCAGGCCACGCCCCCGCTCCCTGTGGTCCGGACCCGCCCCTGCTCTGTGCCCCAGGCCACGCCCCCGCTCCCTGTGGTCCGGACCCGCCCCCGTTGTGCCTCAGGCCACGCCCCCGCTCCCTGTGGTCCGGACCCGCCCCTGCTCTGTGCCTCAGGCCACGCCCCCCGCTCCCTGTGGTCCGGACCCGCCCCCGCTGTGCCCCCAGGCCACGCCCCCCGCTCCCTGTGGTCCGGACCCGCCCCCCGCTGTGCCCCAGGCCACGCCCCCGCTCCCTGTGGTCCTGGACCCGCCCCCCGCTGTGCCCCCAGGCCACGCCCCCGCTCCCTGTGGTCCGGACCCGCCCCTGATGCTTGTGGCCCTGCTCCTGGCCCACTATGGACCCCAGGTCCCGCCCCCTATGGTCCCTCCTCCTGCATCCTAGGCCCCACCCCCGCAGCCCAGGCCCTGCCCCATCCCCGTGGCCCTGCCCCTGCAGCCCAAGCCTCACCCCATCCCTGTAACCCTGCACCCTGCAGCCCAGGCAAGGTGGTGCTGCCCCTCCCGTCCCCAGGGCCCGGATGGCTGCGGGTGTCCTTGCCCCGCACTGAGACCTCCAGAGCCCACCCTGCGCCCCAGTCCCGGTGCCGCCGCCCTCAGTGACGGCCTGTCTGACCCTAGGACAGCTCCAGCTCGCTGGGCCCCGGGGAGTTCACGGGAGTGAAGGAGCTGGACGACATCAGCCAGGAGATCGCCCAGCTGCAGAGGTGTGGGCTGGCCCTGGCAGCGGGCGGGCCGGCGCCTGTGCTGGACCTCATTTCTCACTCACTCGTTTGTCTTGGTCTCAGGGAGAAGTTCTCCCTGGAACAGGACATTCGGGAGAAGGAGGAGGCGATCCGACAGAAAACCAGTGAAGTCCAGGTATCGCCATCCTCTGGGGGCCAGGCCCAGAACTCGGGGCTTCTCAGTCACCCATAAGATGTTGTGGTTCTGGGGAAAGAGCCAGGGGCTAGAGCCCACCAGGAGAGCGCCCATGAGAGTCTGTCTCCAGCCAGCTCCATTTGCTTTCCCCCTCCTTCCCTTTCTCTATCTCTTTCTTTGTCTGAATTCAGGGCTCACGATTGTTTGGCTTCCTTGCTCAGCTACCGCTCTGTTCTTTGAATCACACCTCAATTTTTTGTTGGTTACCTGAAGATGGAATCCCCAGAACTTTCCTGCCTGGGCTGACTTCAATCTTTGATCCTCTAAATCTCAGCCTCCTACGTAGTTATGATCACAGGCCCAAGCCACCAATACTTGGCTCAGTGCACCATTATTTTGTGTGCCAATCGTAGGACTTAAACTCAGGGCCTGAGTGCTATCACTTAGCCTTTTTGCTCTCTGAGCCTTTTTGCGCTCTGTTATTTGAGCCACAGCTCCACTTCCAGCTTTTTGGTGGTCCACTGAAGATCAGAATCTCATGGACGTGGCTGCCTGGGCTGGTTCTGAACCGCGGTCCTCAGATCCTCAGCCTTTTGAGTAGCTGGGATTGCAGGTGTGAGCCCCCAGCGCCAGGCCGCCCTCCCCCCTTCCCCCCCTGCGCTGATTTGTCATCCGGGTCATCATGAGCTGACTTTGTGTCATCCGGGTCATCATGAGCTGACTTTGTCATGATCCCAAGCCCGTGCCCACCCCTGTCCCCCAGGAACTCCAGAACGACCTGGACAGGGAGACAAGCAGCCTGCAGGAGCTGGAGGCGCAGAAGCAGGATGCGCAGGACCGCCTGGATGAGATGGACCAGCAGAAGGCCAAGCTCCGAGACATGCTGAGCGACGTCAGGCAGAAGTGCCAGGACGAGACCCAGATGGTGTGTGTGACCCCCACCCACACACGACCTAATGTGACCCCACCTCCCCACACACTGACCTCCTGTGACCCCCACCTCCCCACACACTGACCTCCTGTGACCCCCACCTCCCCACACACTGACCTCCTGTGACCCCCACCTCCCCACACACTGACCTCCTGTGACCCCCACCCACACACTGACCTCCTGTGACCCCCACCTCCCCACACACTGACCTCCTGTGACCCCCACCCACACACTGACCTCCTGTGACCCCACACACGACCTCCTGTGACCCCCCACACCCACACACGACCTCCCATGACCCCCCACACGCACACACGACCTCCTGTGACCCCACCTCCCCACAGACCTCCTGTGACCCCACCTCTCCACACACTGACCTCCTGTGACCCCCCACACCCACACACGACCTCCTGTGACCCCACCCCACACCCACTGACCTCCTGTGACCCCCCACACCCACACACAACCTCCTGTGACCCCACCCCACACACTGACCTCCTGTGACCCCACCCCACACCCACACACTGACCTCCTGTGACCCCACCTCCCCACACACTGACCTCCTGTGACCCCCACCCACACACTGACCTCCTGTGACCCCCACCCACACACTGACCTCCTGTGACCCCACCTCCCCACACACTGACCTCCTGTGACCCCCCACCCCACACGACCTCCTGTGACCCCACCTCCCCACACACTGACCTCCTGTGACCCCACCTCCCCACACACTGACCTCCTGTGACCCCACCTCCCCACACACTGACCTCCTGTGACCCCACCTCCCCACACACTGACCTCCTGTGACCCCCCCACACCCACACACGACCTCCCGTGACCCCCCACACCCACACACGACCTCCCGTGACCCCCCACACCCACACACGACCTCCCGTGACCCCACCTCCCCACACACTGACCTCCTGTGACCCCACCTCCCCACACACTGATCTCCTGTGACCCCCCCACACCCACACACGACCTCCTGTGACCCCCCACACCCACACACTGACCTCCTGTGACCCCACCACACACTGACCTCTTGTGACCCCACCTCCCCACACTGACCTCCTGTGACCCCACCTCCCCACACCCCAAGGCCCCAGGCCTGGGACGCACAGAGCGGGGTGCAGCCCCCCTCCTGTCCGTGCTGCTCGCCATGCGTGGGCATCAAGCAACCCTGAGAGCCACGCCCTCCCTGTGCACCTGGGCGGGATGAACCCCTCCCCCCCCCCACCGCCCGCCTTTCTGCATTTGGGGGTGGAGACTCCACCCTGAGGCAGCTCTGGGCTGGGCTGCTTTCTAGGGTGAGGAGCTGCCGTTCCTGCCACTCTCATTTTCCTGTCCCCGTCCCGGCTTTGTGCTCAGGGAGTGGCTTTCTCCGCTGCCCGGTCCCACTTCCAGCCCTGGATTTTTGTGGTGGTTTTGTTCAGGTCCTGGGACCTGAACTCAGGACCTGAGCTTCTTTTTGCTCAAGGCTGGTGCTCTGCCACTTGAGCCACAGTGCCACTTCGGGCTTTTTCTGTGTATGTGGTACTGAGGACTGGAACCCAGGACTTGATGCATGCTAGCAAGCGCTCGACCACTGAGCGGCCTTCCCAGCCCCTTGTTGGGTATTTTTTGGATTGGCTGTCTCTCCTTCAGGCGCTTCCTGGGCGCGACCTGCCTGTTAGGCTGACTTGTGTGGCTGGGACAGCAGGCGAGAGCCCCAGTCCCTCCTGCTCCTCCTTTGACAAGGGCTCTTGGGGCTTTGTGCCCGGGCTGGCCGCCAGCCATGGTACTTATCACAGCCTGCTGAGCACCTCACGCCCTGGTGCCTGGCTGGGTCTTCCGCTATAGACTTATTTTACATTAAGTATTCACGTCTATACACACATTAAAGAGAAAGGGACCTAGGGGCCAGCTCTCCTCCCCCCTCGAGGCTGGCCTGCGTTGGGCACCTTCCTGCCTCTGCCCTCTGGGATTGCAGGCCAGTGGCCCATCTCCGGCTCTGGGTATGAGCTGACGTCTCACACCTGTGCTGGTAGGCGAGTCTGTCTGTCTGTGTGCGTGGTCGCTGGCAGCTGAGTGCCTTTGTCCCCTTCTTTCAGATCTCATCGCTGAAAACGCAAATCCAGTCTCAGGAGTCGGACCTGAGGAGCCAGGAGGAGGACCTGAGCCGCGCCCGGGCAGAGCTCACGCGCCTGCAGCAGGAGGAGACGCAGCTGGAGCAGAGCGTGCAGGCCGGGCGCGCGCAGCTGGACACCATCATCAAGTCCCTCCAGTCCACGCAGGACGAAATCAGCCAGGTACAGCGGAGGCTGCGCGCATGCGCGCGATTCACACCTTCTCCTCCCATCTGGCCCCCCATGCTGGGATGTCGGGCATGGGCCGCTCTGTCCCGAGGCCCTCAGGAGAGCAGCGTCTCCACGCGTCCCCTCAATCCCGACTGGCCCCCGTGTCCCCCGCTCAGCCTCCTACACAGCCCCGCCACGGTGCCCAGCTGGGAGTCGCCAAGGGCTCTCGCAGTCTGGCACAATCCATGGGCCTCCCATTTTCAGCCTTCGAGGGAGCTAGGGTTACAGGCGTGAGCCTCAGCCCTGCCTACTCGGTATTTCTGGGGCTCTGGTTTTTTGGAGAGACAGAAACAGCAGTTAGTTAACGGTCTGAGGTCACAGGAGATCATGGCGGGTAAAATGTGCAGCCGCCCCCCGTGCCCAGCTCAGACCCCAATCCCTGCCGCTCTGGGAACTGAGGGCTAAGGATTACATGTGAAGATTGGGTAGAAAGATCTACAAGGTTCCATCTCCATTAACCTGTAAAAAGCCAGTCAGGAGGCATGGTTTAAGTGGTAGAGCAGCAGCCTGAGGCCCTGGGTTTTGTTTTTGGTTTTGTCGGTCATGGGGCTTGAACTCGGCCTGGGCAACACCACTTCCTGTTCTTTGGTAGTTAATTGGAGATCAGAGTTTTAGGGACTTTCTTGCCTGGGCTGGCTTTGAACCTCGATCCTCAGATCTCAGCCTCCTGAGTAGCTAGGATGACAAGCGTGAGCCAGCAGTGCCCAGCTGAAGCCCTGGGTTATAATACCCAGTACTGGGAGGGAGGGAGGGAGGGAGGTAGGAAGCAAGGAAGGAAGGAGCAGGCGTACAGGCTTGGCGTCTGCCAGGGGAAATCATGATGAGCCAGGGAGAGTGGTGTGGGCTCAACAGGAGCAGGTGGGGGGCAGGAGGGGACACAGGGCAGCCCCCCACGCCCGTGCTCTGCCGCAGGCCCGGAGCGCGCTGGCACAGCTGCAGGAGAGCCGCGCGGAGGCGCCGCGTGGCGTGGCGCGGCGCGAGCGGGCGCTGGACGGCGCGGGCCCGGCCGCCCCGGCTGACGGCGGTGGATTTGGAGCCATGGTAACGGTGGAGTAGACGCGGCCGCGCCTGCAGCCCTGGCAGGTGCCCACGATGCCATCCTCGCCCCACCCCACGCCCCGTCCCGTCCCGCCCCACTGCCCTCGCTCCGCTCGGCTCCGCTCGCTGCCTAACAACTGGCCCAGGCCTCAGCCTGCCGGGCCTCCTGCGCCCCGAGGCCGCGGTTGGGCCTTGGTCTCTGGGTCTCTCGGTCTGTCATCCACCTCTGCGGTCTGCCTTCCTCCTCCTGCCCCTCGGGCTTGGGCTGGCCTCGGCCTCCCTCTCCTCATCCTCCTAACCTCTTCCTTCGCCGCCACCTCCTCTCTTCTCTACCCGCTGCTCTGCTTGCGCCGCCGCCCGCCCTGCGCATGCTTGGCGGCTCTGCGGCCCTGGGGGCCCTGGTGCCCTGGTGGCCCTGGCGGCTCTGGGGGCTCTGGGGGCTAGGTGTCCAGGCGGGCTTGATTGACAGCATCTTCCTCCCACCCCTCATCTGGCCACTTCCTCCTTCCGGGAAGGAGCGCCGCGTGGGGAGCCGCCCGGCCGCGCACCTGGGGTCTGCGTTGTAATAAACACTGTGAACCGGTGCCGTTCCCTCCTGCGTCGCCGGCACAGCCTCTGCGGCTCCTTGGGGTCCAGCGGGGAGCCGGCTCCCCCAGGATCGGGAAGCCACCACCGGGCCTCTAGAACTTTCTAGGAACGGCTCTCTTCAAGTTCCTAGTTTAGAGTTAGATTTACACAGAGTGACTACGTGCGCACACTCAGGGCCTGGGCGCTTCTCCTTTCCACTCAAGGCTGGCGCTCTGCCACGTGAGCCACAGCTCCTCCTCCAGCCTTTTGCTGGTTCATTGGAGATAAGAGCCTCCATGTTTCTGCCGTGGCTGGCGTCAGACCCCGGTGCTGCGCCCTCCACCTCCTCGGGCGTGGGGGTTGCAGGCATGAGCCACCGGCCCGGCCCGGCCCGCCACAGGTCTCGAAGCCGCGTGTGTGTGTGTGTGTGTGTGTGTGTGTTGATTCGCCTCTTTATTTAGTGGTGCGGGACGACCCACGCCCAGAGCCCTGTTCACATCACCCAGGGCCAGCCGACCACCCACCACACAGCGGGGCTGCAGCTTCCCACCCCGCCCCGTGCCGTCAGGGCCTTACCAGCAGAGCCTCCAGGCGGCTGCCCAGCCTCCGCTCACCCGAAATCCATGGCGTGTGCATGCCCCAGCCGCCCACCCCTGCCCACTCAGCCGCCTGCTCACACTGGCACGCCACCACGTGAGCCGCAGCCCACTTCTGGCGTCTTAGTAGTTTATGGGAGATGAGAGTCCCATGGACTTTTCTGCCCGCTGTCTTGGTGCCCCGATCTCCGATCTCAGCCTCCGGGTAGCCAGGATGACAGGCGGGAGCCCTGCACCTTTTAAAGGACAGAATGTCGCCCGAACGGCTGAGAGCCCCGCAGAGTTGGCGCGAGTGTTTCCTAAGCAGGCAGAGGGGTGGCCGCGGCTCGGGACGCCAGGCCCACGTCCCTCGGGACAGCCCAGCGCAGCCGTGCACCGCAGCGGCGGATGCATCCAGCGGCCATGGGCCACGGTGGTGTCTCCAGGACCCCTCCAGGACCCCACAGCTCCTGAGATGGAGGAGACGGACTCAGTCTCCCCCAGTCAGCAAAGGGGCGGAGTAGTTTTCCCTGCTACCTCCTGGAGCACTGGAACGCTGGACCGCGCCATGCCAGCTTGTGTCACGGGGGGGAGAGGGGGGGTTAGTGGGGTAGTGTGCCCACAGCCCACGTGTTCCTGTGTCTTGCGTCCCATGGTGTGCCCCTCCACAGGCGGGTGAACCCACCTGCAGACGCACCACCTCAACTCACTGGAAGCTTCCATTCTGACGTCATGCTGTTTTTATGGGTTTTATGTTTTTCTTTGGGCGCTATCGGAGTTCGACTTGGAGGCCTTGCTCTTGATAAGTCAGTGCTGCTAAGACCCTCTGGGCACTGGCTGTGTTTGAGATAGGGTCTCCTTTCCTGTCCAGACCCTGTTCCCATTGAGGCTGCGATCAGGGGTGCGCGCCCCTCTTCCCAGCTTTGGTTGAGCCGGCCTCTCAAGGACTTGTCTGCCCCTGGCTGGCCTGCAGCCTCCACGTGTCTGCTGGGGCCGGCCTCCAATCAGGATCCTTGTGAGTGAGCCTCTCCAGTAGGCAGGACCGCAGGCGTGAGCCTCGCACTCGGCTCGGCCCTGACCTGCTTCCTCTTCTCTTGGCTCTCAAGTCTCAGGCCCATGCTGGCCGGGGCAGGACTTGGACCCCGCGCTCTTGGGTGGGGTGAGCGCAGCTCCCGGGCCTCAGCGGGGACGCTCGTGGGAGCTGAGAGCCACGGGCACTCAGCCCTCGGAGCCGTCTGTCTGTCTGTCTGTCTCGCGCTTGCCTCAGCACTGGCTGGGCCTCCCCTCGGGGGCAGCCAGTGCGGCGGCGCCAGGCGCTGCGTCCCAGGTCAGCGGTCTCCACGTCCTCCGCAGCCTGGGCTGGGAAAGAGGCCATCGCGCCACAGCCCAGATCCAGCGCCGCCGCCCCGCCCTCCTGCCTCCTCAACCCAGCGCTCGGCGCCTCCCAAACCCTCCATCCTCCTTCATCCGGTGCTCCTGGGCACATGCCCAGTGCGGAGGCTGTAGCCCTCGGTTCTTTTCTAAACCCAGCACCCCTGGGGTGCGCTGGCCACAGCAGCCTTGTTATAATACGTCTTTGGGGGCCTTTAACCACTCCCACACTGTCACCTGCGTTCTCAGCCGCCTGCCAGGCCTGGCAAGCCGCGCCCATCCTCCTCCCCCTCCACCTCCCCGCGAGCTGGTGCTGCAGGCGCGCGCCCCGGCGCCCAGCCCACAGTAAGCCGGGACTGAAGATGTCATTCTGCTCAGACATTAAGCTTCGCCCTCCTCACGGTCTCTCAGGGTGCTGAGCACAGCCCTGGCGTCCCCCTCCAGGGCTTCTGCGCCCCCAGTGCCTGGCTCCGGATCTCACTCACTTCTCCCTTTCCTTTTCTTCCTTTTGTGGCAACTGGGGGGGGGTTGAACTCACACGGGCTCCTGCTCAGGAGGGCAGGCCTCTGCACTGGAGCCACGCCCACTGCCGGCCACGCCCGCCGCTCCCTGCCGTGCCCAGGGCCGGCTGGCTGGGGGGGGGGGGGGGCGCGGTCCTTCCTGCGCGGCTGCGGCGGGCATGCGGGTTGCCTCCACTCGGTGAACTGTTTTAGTTGCTCCAGGCTTACCCGCCGCACCCGTGTTGCCCAGTGCCCGCCGTCCTCTCCCGTGGCATCCGGGGTGGCTGGACAGGCGGAGGTCGGGCCGGGGCGTGCTCTGGTCCTCCGTGGCAGTGACCAGCGCCGTCCTGTCCGCTCCGCCGCTCCAGGACGATCCTTTCAAGAGCAAAGCCCTGCTGTTCAGCGGCAGCGCGCAGGAGCTGCCAGCCGACCCCTTCCAGGCCGACGACCCCTTCCAGACCGACCCCTTCAAGGGAGCCGACCCCTTCAAAGGTACGCGGGCCCGCCGGCCCGCACCCTGCGCCCGCGCTCTGACGGGAGCGGGCAGCCGCCCCGGGGGTCCGCACCTGCACGCGCTGCCCGTGGGGTCGGCGGCCTCGGCCCCCAGCAGCGGGCATCAGCGCGTGCCCACGCGGGGAAGGGCAGGCGGCGTGATTCGGGGGCCGGCGCTCCCTCCGGTCCACGCTCGCGACCCCCCAGCTGTGTCCACCCCGTCGGGGCCGGGTGGGAGTTTCCTCCTCCCGAAGCTGGGCGGGCCCAAGTATTGTTCCTCCCCCTGCCCCCTGTAGGCGACCCGTTCCAGAACGATCCATTTGTGGAGCAGCAGACAGCGATCACAGGTATGGTGGCAAAGGTGACACGGCCTGGGGTGGGGTGGGGTGGGGCGGGGCGGGGCGGTGGCTCTCAGGCCACACCCTCACAAGGGGGGGTGGCGGCTGCTGGCACAGATGGCGGCCCTCCACACCACACAGGACCCTGCCTGGTAGCAGGTGGATTTTATTCTCTTGAGATGCTCACCTCCATGTGTGCGAGCTGGTGCCAGGCCTTGAGCGCAAGGCCTCATGCTGGCTAAGCAGGGGCTGCTCTGCTTGGGGTGTGTGGCCAGGCTGGCCTGGGCTTTGACCTCTGACCTCCATCTCCTGTGTAGCTGGGATGATAGGCAACCCCTGCCACGCCCCACATTTTTCTATGGAGATGAGGGCCTTAGGAACTTTCTGGAACCTTGATCCTCTGGGATTCTAGGCAGAGCCACTGGCACTGGCCGTTTGTCGGTGGTTTTTAACCCAGCCTCGTGAAGAGCTAGCCTCTCCACGCAGCCAAGTTCCACATCTTGCGCACGCCCTGGCCCACGCTGGCCGCGATCCGCCGTCCGCAGAAGTTGCCCGGCCTGGGCAGGCGTGAGCGGGTCAGCTTGCATCCTGTCTGCTGCCTGCGCAGCCAGGGCCGCTGTGCCCCCCTCCCCCCCGCTGGGGTAAGGGGCTCCACGGGGCGCCCACCCACGAACCCCAGGGTCCTTTCCAACAGCGTCCTGTGAGATCAGAACCTTTCCTGTCACCTGCAAGCTTCCCATGCATGTGCCTGCCCCGGTCACCTCCTCCCAGGCCACCTCCACCACTCACCTCTCCACCACCCCCCCAGATCCCTTCGGCGGGGACCCTTTCCGAGAGAGCGACCCCTTCCGCGGCCCTGTCCCCGACCCCTTCTCCAAGAAGCAGCCGCGGAGCGACCCGTTCGCCGCCGACCCCTTCGCCAAGACCCCCGGCGCGCCCACCTCGGTGAGCCCGGCCCACCAGCCCCCCATGCCCAGGGCGCGAGGGCCCCAGCGCCTCCACTCTCCCCCCACCCCCCCGCCCTCTCAGGGGTCCCGTGGGTCCGGAGAGGCCACGAACCCGCCGTCTCCTGTCTCCTCAGCTCGACCCATTCGAGGCCAGTGAGCCCTTCGCGTCGTCCGGCGTGCCGAAAGCATCAGGTGAGTGGGACTGGGCCCCTGCCCGTGGCCTCATGTCCTCCAGGGGGGCAGTCATGGGGCGGGGCGCAAAGGAGACAGCACCGCAAACGCGTGTCTCCGGCTGGGCACAGTGGTGCACGCCTGTAAGTCCTACTTGGGAGGTACAACTGACCGGCCCGGGCTGTGTGATGACCCCTGGCTCTGAAAACACACCTTGGTGTCCCCTCGCCACGGACACTGTTGCCTCCACCCATCCCAGCTCTCCGGGGCAGCAGGCCGTGCCCCCTGGCCCCCTGAGCTGTGGCCACACAGGGGCCCTGTGCCAGAGCAGGCAGGAGCCGTGGGGCCCGTGTTCCCGTACGTGGCAACCCCTCTGCCTTGGGGACCCCGCCTTGTCCTGACCCCCGAGGTACGGGGTGCATTCTGTCCTTGGCCATGACCCCTGCCTCCCGGTGCCTTGCAGATCCCTTTGGGACACTGGACCCCTTTGGGAGCGGGGCGTTCGGCAGCGCCGAGGGCTTCGCTGACTTCAGCCAGATGTCCAAGGTGAGGGGCGCGGGCCTCGCCGTGGGGGTGGGGGGGACTCCGGCTTGCCCCAGGCGTGTGTCCCCCTTAACACGGGTGGCATGGCTCGGACAGGCCAGGGCACCGGAACTGGGCGGGAGTGGGTGGGTGCGGGAGGCGGAGCCATGCAAGCCCAAGGTGCCCAAGCCATGTCCCGTGGGCCGCAGGGGACTGGAGTGTGAAGTGGGCATAGACCTGCCCCAGGGGGAAGAAATGACGCCGGGGTCCCCCCTCCCCGGGGCAGAGCCAGCTCGTGAGCACCGCCCCTGGCGTGAGCCCCGTCCAGGCCGCCGTCCCCGTGGCCCCCCCCCCCCGCCCCCCACGTGCTGTGGCCACAGCTTCACCCAGGAGCCCTGTGGTGCCTCGTGTGCCTGCACGACGGGCACTGGCCAGCAGGGGGCAGCACAGTGCCGTGGGCCAGGCGGCCGTGGGCGTGTGCTCCGTGCCCAGGGCATCTCAGCGTGTGCAGGGAGCCGCGCTGTCCTCCATGGTCTCCCCTCTCCCTGGTGTGACGTGGGAGCTGGTGGCCTGGCACGTGGGACAGGGACCGAGGGCAAGAAGCGCCCCCCGATGCCCACAGGCACCCAGGTTCCTGGTTTTCTGTGTGCACGGTTGATCCTGGTGTGGAGAGCCGCCGCGCCCCGCGGGCCCAGCTCCTCACGCGCGGCCCTGTGCCTCTGGCGTGCATTGCCGGGGCCACACGCGGACCAGACGGGCAGCGACTGCACACTGCTCCAGGTCGCCTGGGACGGTGGCGACGTGTGGGCTGGGCAGCACCCGGGTGGGGTGTTCAGCACAGGGTCCGTCCGACACCGGGCGCATCTGCCACACGGGGGCAGCAGCCCATCGCTCGTCGCTGCGGCCCCTGCAGCCGCTTCCCCCCTCCCCACCCCACCCCAACCCCTGGCCAGGCTGCAGGCCTGGCCTGGGCGGAGGCCGGGCGGGCGGGCAGCTCCTCGGTGGACCCGGCCTGCCCTCCCCTCAGAGCGGCCCTGCAGCTCCGCCTGGGCACGCGGCCTGGGGCCGCGTCTGTGGGCCGCATCTGCGGGCTGTGGTTACGTTGTTTTTCAAGAACGACCTCAGGTGTGTCAACACTGCCGGGAAGCGAAACTGTGGCCGCTGCGCCGCGCCGTGCTGTTGTTTTCCTGAGCTGGCTTTTTCTTTTCTCTTTTTCCTTTGCTTAAAAAAAGTCAGCTCTCTCCTTCACCGGCAGGGTGGGGCCTGGAGCAGCAATGGGGGCGGCCAACACCCCAAATGCCTGCGCCCTCTCCAGCCTCCTCCCTGAGCCTCCTCCCCAGCCGCCTCCTGCGTCCTCCCCAGCCTCCTCCCCAGCCTCCTCCTGCCTCCTCCTCAGCCTCCTCCCCAAGCCTCCTCCCCAGCCGCCTCCTGCGTCCTCCTCAGCCTCCTCCCCAAGCCTTCTCCCCAGCCGCCTCCTGCGTCCTCCCCAAGCCTTCTCCCCAGCCGCCTCCTGCGTCCTCCCAGCCTCCTCCCCGAGCGTGTTCTTGCTGGGCACCCCTGGCAGACCCTGCTCATCCACCAGGCCCTGGACCCTATCCCATCCCCCCACTGCCCAGGAGAGATGCAAATAAGTTCCTCAAAACGTGTTTGTGGAGGGCCCTGAGAATAAAATGAGAGCCACTTACATAACCCGCCCTGGTCTCCCCGCCCGAGCCCGGGAGAGCCCCTCACGAGCCGCGTGCCTCCTCCATGTCCCCCACCCCCACCCCATGGTCCATCATCAGGGACGTCTCTGCCTCTTCCCCTCTCCTGGGCCGCGCTCTCCAGGGCTGCGCTGCCCCCGCAGGCAGGGCCACCTTTCTAGAGGTCAGCCCCCGACTCTGCAGAGGCCGCTTGGACCCCGGCGACCCAGCCCCCCAAACCCTGCTCAAAGCAGCCATCGCACCCCAGCTCCTGGGGGTGACGCCTGTCACCTGGGAGGGCGCCGATTGGCCGGCGCTCGCCCCTGGGGGTGGGGTTGTCACCTGGGAGGGCACCGATTGGCCGGCGCTGGCCCCTGGGGGTGGGGTTGTCACCTGGGAGGGCACCGATTGGCCGGCGCTGGCCCCTGGGGGTGGGGTTGTCACCTGGGAGGGCGCCGATTGGCCCCGCGCTGATGGGAGGGTGCGCCTCGTGCCTGGCCAGGTGGGCTTGGCCGGCGGCCACCTGTCACCACGTCTGCACCTGCACATGCCTGAGTGGCTCTGCCGCAGCAGGATCCGAGCGCATGGGGAGCCGCCCGGGACCCCCAGTGCCTGGGGAGACGTCCCAGGCCTCCGCCATTCCTTGCACAACACTGCGCCCGCAGGGCTGATGCCAGCGCTCGGGGGGACCCGGGTTCAAGGTCAGCCTGGCTACACAGCCGGACCACTCTCCAGAGAACACACGTGATGCCCCCCTCCCCCAGTGCAAGGCGCAGGGCATCCGGTGCCCCGAGGTGCCCCCCGCCGACCCCACGCCCTGCGGGCTCCCGGTCAGCCAGTGGCAGTGCGGGCCGCCCGCAGCCAGGGGCTCAGACCAGCCTAGCACAGCCCAGACTGACAACCCAGGAAACAGCACCTCACCAGCCATGGCGCAAGCCGTGTGCAGAAGCCATCCAGAGCCCAGGGGTATTAACTTCTGGAATTTTCTGTGTAGTGTATTTGGTGTCGGGAGAGCCAGGGTGGGTGGGTGCGGCCCCGGAGGTACCACACCCGCAGCCACGTCCTCACGGTGCTGAGCCAGGGCCTGTGGCTGTGCGTTTGGCACTGAAGGTGGGGAAACTGAGTCAGCCAGGGCAGGCCCCTGCCCATGTCCACCAGCGTCACCAACAGTGGCTCGAAGCGTCCACCCCAGACCCAGCAGCCCACAGCTAGGCACAGTGCCCAGGAGCCGCAGCCTGACCACAGGTGCAGGCCCAACCCTAGCGGGCTGCAGCGCCATACCAGGCCTGTTTCCTTGTGCATAGAGGAGGCATGGTAGGGACGGCGCCTGTCACCTGGGAGGCCGCCGATTGGCCTGGCACTGGCTCCTGTGGGCGGCGCCTGTCACCCGGGAGGCCGCCGATTGGCCTGGCACTGGCTCCTGTGGGCGGCGCCTGTCACCCGGGAGGCCGCCGATTGGCCTGGCACTGGCTCCTGTGGGCGGCGCCTGTCACCCGGGAGGCCGCCGATTGGCCTGGCACTGGCTCCTGTGGGCGGCGCCTGTCACCCGGGAGGCCGCCGATTGGCCCGGTGCTGGCTCTTGTGACGCGGTGCTTCTCCCCGCTGGGCCGGCAGCCCGGCCCCATCCGAGCCAGCACCCTCTCGGTCTTCACCCACGCGTGCTCTTGTCCGGTGGTCCACCCTGGCTCCCTCCATCACCCATCCACCCGCCAACTGTGTGCTCTTCCTCTTCCTCCCCCCACCTGTGGCTTGTGCGTCCTTCTGCCCACCACCCGCCCTCCTTGCGCGATGGGGGCTGGGATCTGGGCTGGGCCCCGGTGTGGGGTGCGGAGGGTCGGGGACACAGGGACTCGGGCTGGGCTGGGGGCGCCAGGGCGGCTCTGCGCGGGAGCCCGGGCCCAGGGGGAGCGGCCGCCATCCCCGGCGGCCTGGCGAGACTGACGGTGTTGCCTCTCCCGTGTCCTCTCTTGCAGCCCCCCCCTGGGCCTTTCCCCGCGTCCGTGGGAGGCGCGGCGTTCTCAGACGACCCCTTTCACGGTGCGCAGCACACGCCGGCTCTGCCGCCCAAGAAGCCCGCTCCGCCTCGGCCCAAGCCGCCCAGCGGTCAGTACGCGGCCGGCTCCGCGCGGGGCGCGGCCTCCGCCGCTGCTCGGGTGGGGCGGGCGCGCGTGGAGCCAGCGGGTGGACGTGCCGCGCGCGCGCACAGGCGCGTGGGCGAGCGGTCTGCGCGGCCAGGTGCACGGGCTCGCGTGGAGCAGAAGCCGCTCCGCGGGCAGCGCCCGTGGACGAGCGGGGAAGACGCGGGCGGCTGTGCCCGGGGAGGCCGGGACAGGCGGGGCGTCCACGGGGGCGTGTGCGTCTCGCGTGTCGTGGGCAGGACGGGTCCGTGTGGGGTGGAGTCTGATGCTCCCCCTCACTCTCCCACCCAGAAGCGGAGGCTCCAGGAAGCGGCCCCCGGTACACGTTGCTGGCCGGTACGTTCCCACGGCACGCGCACGCCGGCAGCCTGTGCGTGGGTGCTAATGGCGCATGCGCATCAATGGCTGCGTGTGTGTGCACTGACGGCTCGCGCGCATGCGTACTGACTGCGGGCAGCCCGTGCCTGCCTACTGCGTGTGCGCATGTGCGTGCGCTAGCGGCGTGTGCCGCGTGCTGCGAGCTCCGCGCCCCGCTCCTCTTGCGCTCCTCCCCTTGCTCTTCACGCAGCCCGGCGGCCAGGCCCGGGGCTGGGAACGGGCGGGACGAAGGGGCCGGAAGCTGGATTGCACTCGGGACCCTTGGGCAGCAAGGTGGGAGCTGAGCCCACGAGCCTCAGTTTCCCCCAAGAACGTGGAGGAGCAGGCGGGGTGGGCGCGGCGGGTGCCCGGGCCGCCCGCGTGGGGCCCCGTCTCGCGTGGGGAGGCCGCAGCTGCCAGGTCCCCCGGCGCTGCGCGTGGGGGAGGGGGTGCGGGGCGCGGGGTCCCCAGCCGCCCGCGCCGGGGCCTGTGCAGCCTGGGCTGCTTTTTCTAGAAAGGTCTGTCAAGGTACGGGGTGGCGGCAGGTGGGGGTGCGGGAACCGCTTTCTTTGAAGCAGATGCAAAACAGCCCCGCGGCCGCCCCGAAACCGTCGGTTAGAGTCGGGTGCGCGCCTCCCAGGTAAACAGGCCGGCCGCGCTCTGCAACGGCCGGGCCGGGCGCGCGGGCGGCGGCGCTCTCGGGGTTTCTCGGGTTTCTAGGTAAAAGTTGTTGATTTGCAAAGAGAGAAACAGATTTTTTTCAAGTGCAGGAAACGGCTGTGGGCGCCAGTGATTGGGCCGCGCCCCGCCCTGCCGCTTCCTGCCCGCGCCGCCGGCCCCCTCCACGGGCCAAGCCCCCTCCACGGGCCAAGCCTCCTCCACGGGCCGGGCCCCCTCCACGGGCCAAGCCTCCTCCACGGGCCGGGCCCCCTCCCCCCCCCCCCCCCCGCCAAGCCCCCTCCACCGGCCAAGCCCCCCTCCCCCGGCCGGGCCCCTCCACGGGCCAAGCCCCCCGCCCCCGACCGGGCCCCTCCACGGGCCAAGCCCCCTCCACGGGCCAAGCCCCCCGCCCCCGGCCGGCTCCCCTTCCCCCCCGCCAAGCCCCCTCCACGGGCCAAGCCCCCTCCACGGGCCAAGCCCCCCCCCCCCGCCGGGCCCCCCACAGCCCTGGGCCTCTGCACCGGCCGCCCTCCCCCCGCCCCCCCCCCGCCCCCCTCTCTGTGCTTCCAACACACAGCCCAGGGAAGGCTCGACCCCCGTGGCTTTGGGGTCCCGGCTCCTGGGGGCCCCAGGACGGGGCGGGGGTCAGGTCGGGGCCGCCTCGCCCCCCTCGCGCCCGACCTCATGTTTACGGTGCCAGCGCCGAGCGTGGTTAGCGCCTCGGCCCAGCCTAACTACCTCAGTTCCGCTCCCACGATGCGCCCCGGAGATAACGGGCGGGACGCGGGGTCACCGCGGAGCCCAGACCCGGCCCAGGGGTCAGGACCCCCGCACCCCACCGCGGGGGCCGCTGGAGTGCGCGCTGGGGGGCGCGGGAGGGGGGCGGGCCGTGGGGGGTCGTGGGGGGTCGTGGAGAGCAGGCCGTGGGGGGTCCGGCCGTGGGGGGTCATGGAGAGCAGGCCGTGGGGGGTCGTGGCACCGCGGCGCTGGGTTGCGGACGGAAGCGTGGGCTCCTGTGCCCCGCACCCCTGGCTGGTGCTGCTCTGCCCTGTGCCCGGTGTTGGGAGCAGCTCGGGGGTCTGGGGTCCGCCGCCCCGGGGCCCCCGCCACACAGGCCCCGCGCGGGCACGCACGCCTGCGCCGGTGGTGAGCGTCTGCGGGGTGCGAGCGTGCGGGGCGCCCGGCCTCACCGTCCCGCGGGAGGGGCCGCAGAGCCAGGCAGCCTGCGAGGCACGCGTGGGCGCCTTGTCCCGCGGGATCGTGCCCGCCAGCGCCGGCATGACGGACCTCGGGAGCCTTAGAACCTTCCAGAAAAGCAGCTTTGCCGGCTCTAGAGCCCGGCCGCCGGGTGCCTGCAGGGCCCGGGCAGTGCCCCCCACCCCCCCCACAGCCCAGACCCCACAGCCCAGACCCTACCCCCTCACAGCCCTGACCCTACCCCCCCACAGCCAGACCCCACAGCCCAGACCCTACCCCCCCACAGCCCAGACCCCACCCCCCCACAGCCCAGACCCCACAGCCCAGACCCTACCCCCCCACAGCCCAGACCCTACCCCCCCACAGCCCAGACCCTACCCCCTCACAGCCCTGACCCTACCCCCCCACAGCCAGACCCCACAGCCCAGACCCTACCCCCCCCCACAGCCAGACCCCACAGCCCAGACCCTACCCCACAGGCGAGACCCTACCCCCCCACAGCCCAGACCCTACCCCCCCACAGCCAGACCCCACAGCCCAGACCCTACCCCACAGGCGAGACCCTACCCCCTCCCACCCCAGCCCCGCACCCCCTCCCAACCCCCTCCCACCCCAGCCCCGCACCCCCTCCCAACCCCCTCCCACCCCAGCCCCGCACCCCCGCCCAACCCCCTCCCACCCCAGCCCCGCACCCCCGCCCAACCCCCTCCCACCCCAGCCCCGCACCCCCCGCCCAACCCCCTCCCACCCCAGCCCCGCACCCCCTCCCAACCCCCTCCCACCCCAGCCCCGCACCCCCGCCCAACCCCCTCCCACCCCAGCCCCGCACCCCCGCCCAACCCCCTCCCACCCCAGCCCCGCACCCCCTCCCAACCCCCTCCCACCCCAGCCCCGCACCCCCTCCCAACCCCCTCCCACCCCAGCCCCGCACCCCCGCCCAACCCCCTCCCACCCCAGCCCCGCACCCCCTCCCAACCCCCTCCCACCCGAGCCCGCAGACGCGGTAGAGCAGCGGGGCGGCAGGCTGGTCCCAGCCGCATGTGTGCGTGCGGCCCGCGTGTGTGCGTGGGCTCAGGCTCCAGGCCGGTCCCCGCAGGTGTGTGCAGGGGGCAGCCCTTCCCAGCGGTCCCTGCGGCAGCCGTGTGTGTGCTGCGCGCAGTCACGCCGCTGGTGGCTGTGGTCGTGGCTGGGCCCAGGGCGTCGGCAGGCCCGGCCTCCTCGCGTGGGGCCCGGCCCGTCCCTGCGCCTGCGCGTGCCTCTGCGTGTCTCTGCGTGCGTGCGCGTGCCTGCGCGCGCGCGCGCCTCTGCCTGTCTCTGCGTGGCGCGCGCGCGCGCCTCTGCCTGTCTCTGCGTGCGTGCGCGTGCCTCTGCCTGTCTCTGCGTGCGCGTGCGCGCGCGCGCCCCGCGGTCCGTCCCCGGCTGGCGCAGCCCCGCCGCTCGGCCCCGCCCGTCCGGCCCGCCACGTCCTCACGCGTGTCCTCTCTCTCTGTTCTGTTCTCTCCCCCGCCCTCCAGGTAAAAGCACCCCCGTGAGCCAGCCCGGCTCCGCGGAGCCCCCGCCCCCCGAGCCCCTCCAGCCGCGGGGGGCCCGCGCCGGCGACCCGCTCCAAAATAGAGAGGGGCTGGGGGAGCCGCTTAGCGGAACAGACCCCCTTGTCCCCTCCGCTAAGGCCGCTTCCGCCGGCTTTGCCGACTTCACCTCTGTAAGTTGAGACGCTCCCGCGCCCTCACCCCGCTTGCCGCCTTGGGGGGCTCGCTGCGCCCGCTCCCGCACCCCGGGGCCCCAAGGCCATGCCTCCCGCCCGGCACCCGGCACCCCGCGGCCCGTCCACGCCCGGCACCCCCGCGGCCCGTCCACGCCCGGCACCCCGCGGCCGCGGCGCTGCGGGAGCCTTGGCGATGGCGGGCTGGTCGCGCCTTGGCCGGCCCGCGGGCGGAGGCGCTCCCCCGCCTGAGCCGCGCCGCCGCGCCCGCCTCCCACACGCCCTCGCTCTCGCTCGCGGTTCTGTGTTGTGCTTCTTGGGGGCGCGATGGGCTCCTGGGCCCCGGCTCCCGGGTCGGGGTGCGGCTCTGTGTCGGGGGGCTGCCGGCACCCCGAGGAAGGAGGGGGGACGGGTGGCAGACAGGCCGCCCACCCCGCCAGCGCCCAAACGCCCGGCGCGGGGCCCGCCCGGCGCGGGGAGCGGGCAGGCGCGGGGAGCGGGCAGGCGCGGGGAGCGGGCAGGCGCGGGGAGCGGGCAGGCGCGGGGAGCGGGCAGGCGCGGGGCCCGCCCGGCGCGGGGAGCGGGCAGGCGCGGGAGCGGGCAGGCGCGGGGAGCGGGCAGGCGCGGGGAGCGGGCAGGCGCGGGGAGCGGGCAGGCGCGGGGAGCGGGCAGCGCGCCCCGGGTTCCGATCCCGCGCCGCGCGAGCCGCGGGGCCCACACCCGCCAGCGCCCGTCACGGCGCCCTGCGCCCCTGCCTGTGTCATCACGACCACACCCGAGACCCCTTTTCTGGAAAGTTCTCTGGGACCTGCCGCGCAGCGTCCCGAGGCCCCAGCCCCCCTGCCCCGCAGCTGCGGCCTCGCCGCGCGCGGCCCTTGTGTTCCTCCCAGGGATGTGTTGGAAGCTTCCAGAAGAGAAGGGCAGGGGCGGGGAGGGAGGACTGGCTGCGTGTGGAAGCCGAGGAGGGAGTGGACCTGGGTGCGGGACCCGGCCCGGCGTGAGCTCGGGGCCCAGGGCTCTGCTACGCGCGGGCGCTCGGAGCTGGCCGGCGCTCTACCGCGTGAGCCACAGCACCGCTTGTGCTTTTCCGAGTGATTGAGTGGAGAGAGGAGTCGCTCAGACGTTCCGCCCGGGCTGGCTGCGAGGCACGATCCTCAGACCCCAGCCTCCCGAGCCTCTGGGACTACAGGCGGGAGCTGTGGGTGGCGGGCCTCCTGGGGCGGCATTGAGATGGGGTCTTGCGCCACGGGCCGGCGCTCTGCGGCCCCAGGTGCGTGATCGGGGCCCGCGGCTTCTTTGCGCCCAGCCCGGGGCGCAGGGCAGAGGCGGGGAACGAGGCCGGGGCTCCTGGAAGAAGCGGAGGCCAGAGCCCAGCCCAGGGCCCCCAAATACCCCCACCCATCTCAAGAAAGGCCCCCAAATCCGCATCCGGAGCTCCCGTGGCCGCCCGCGCTGAGCCCCACCTTCCCTTGCAGTTCTGCAATGAGGAGCAGCAGCTGGCCTGGGCCAAGCGGGAGAGCGCCAAGGCGGAGCAGGAGCGGCTGGCGCGGCTGCGGCGGCAGGAGCAGGAGGACCTGGAGCTGGCCATCGCGCTCAGCAAGGCCGACATGCCCGCCTAGCACGCGCACGCGCACGCGCACGCGCACTCCTTGTACAAAATGAAGTTTGAATGATTAATATAATATTTTAATACAAAACACCCAGGCCTCTCTCCTTTTTCCCAGAAGCCCGGGGCGCGCGGCGGCTGCCGGGTGGGGGAGGCCGGGGTCAGAGGCCCCGGGTGGAGAGGCCGGGGTCGGAGGCCGGGACACTGCAGGATGTTTTCACAGCTGAAAGCGGGAAGTTTGTCTTAAATTTATGGTGCTATTCACAGGTCTTTTTTTTTTGGGGGGGGGGGGGTCCGGTCCTGGGCCTGAGCTGGGCCTGGGCGCTGTCCCTCAGCTCTTCAGCTCAAGGCTAGCGCTCTACCACTGAGCCACCTTCCCAGCCCATATTCACAGGTCTTGAACTCTGGGCCTGGGCGCTGTCCCTGAGCTCCTCAGCTCAAGGCCAGTGCTCTACCCCTTGAGCCACAGCGCCACTTCGGGCTTTTTTTTGCGTGTGTGGTGCTGAGGAATCGAACCCAGGGCCTCCCGCCCTCGGCGAGCGCTCCACCTCGGAGCCGCCGTGCCAGCTTCTAGTTGTCTGTGTGATGACAGCACGGCCTGAGCCGCACAGGGAAGCCCGGCCGGCCACCGGGGACCAGGAACAAAGCGGGGCGGGGGGGGGAGTGGGGGGGGGGGGGGGGGAGGCTGGGGGCGGCACCTCAGGCCCAGATTTTGTGGGGCGCCCTGGACCCTGCCCCCCCATTGGGGCCCCTCCCGGAAGCTCCCTCTGTTCATCTCTTTGTTTCTGGCTTTTCAAAACATTTTTTTAGGACCATTTTAGATTTGTAGAAAGTTCCAGGCCCTCCCGGGGCACCCGGAAGCCCCGCCCCGGCCAGCTCCCTATTTTTAGCCCCGGCCATCCAGTGCGGTGCTGGTCACCACGGCCTGTGAACTCCACCTGCAGCCCATGACGTGACCTTCACCCTGACCTTGACCCCGACCCTGTGAGGAGAGTGTGGGGGGATTGCTTTAGTTTTTTTGGGTTTTCTTGTCGGTACTGGGATTTAAACTCAGAGCATGCATGGGCACGCGCACGGGCACATACACACACGTCCTGGGTCCTGGCTGGCACTTGCCCTGTGGCACTTCCCGCCTTCCTCCTGGGCTTTTCCCTCCAGCTGGCCTCCAGGTGCGGTCCTCTGGCCTCAGCCTCCCGATGGCTGGTCCTCAAGGCTCTCCCTGACGGGGAGAGCTGGGCGGGGAAGGCCAAGGCGGGTGCCTCTGGCCAGGCCCAGCAGTGGCGTGGGGGACACAGCGGAGCCCAATCTTCAAAGCCAGGGTCGCCCTGCGCCCGTGGCTTGGCCAGCCCGGCACTGCTATTTTAAGGCTGTACAGGAAATGTCCAGAAACAAAGGGCTGTCCTCCCCATCCCCCCGTCCCCTATCCCCCCATCCCCCCATCCGTCCCCCCCCTCCTCAGATGCCGCGTCCTGCCACACTGATCCCATCACACCATTTTTTTAATTTTCCAAACAAATGTGTGTCAGGGCTGGGAAGGTGGCTCAAGTGGTAGAGCGCTCGCCTTGAGCTGAAGAGCTGAGGGACAGCACCCAGGCCCAGAGTTCAGGCCCATGACCGGACCCAAAAAAACAAAAACGAGCGCAGCTAAGGCTCAAGTGGTAGAGAGCTAGCTAGGAGCACAAAAGCTCCAGAATAGAACCCAAGCCCTGAGTTCAAGCCCCAGGACCAACAATTAACACATACATAAATAGAACATTGGGTTGCATTGGCTGGTGGGGGACAGCCTCGTGTGGCGGCCCCGGCCACCTCTGTACTCCCAGACTCGGCCACCCACCCGCCTCAGCCTGTCCGGTAGCTGGGACTACAGGCGTGAGCCACCACACCCCGCCGAAGAGGTAGAGGTTGGTTTTAGCGAAAAGCTGAAGGGGGGAGGGGTCGGTAAGGAAGACTGGTGTGAGGAAGGTTCTGGGTTGAGCTGAGCAGCAGCACAAAAGAAGCCGGGGTGTGCCTCTATCCAGGAAGCCACCTGGCCTGGCCAGAGACCGAACCACTTAGAGCCCAGCAAGCAGCGCGTACCCCATCTTCTGTGTGGGGTTGAGGTGAAGGGAATTCAGCCCTAGCCCCTGGCCCCTTTCCCAGAAGTTCCGCCACGCGCTCTCGCCGCCTCAGGCTGTGGAACTTGGTCCCAGGAGGGCACCGGCTTTCTTTTGTTGCTGTCGGTCATGGTCTTGAATTCTAGGCCTGGGTGCTGTCCTCTAGGCGGGCGCTCTACCACTTGAGCCACTTCGCCACTGCTGGTTTTCTGGTGGTTCATTGGAGATCAGAGTCTCACGGTCTTTCCTGCCCGGGCTGGCTTTGAGCCTCGATCCTCAGATCTCAGCCTCCTGAGCAGCTGGGATGACAGGCGTGCGCCATGGCGCCCGGCTCTCCTGAATCTTTTTATGCCTCAGTCATTTGGTCAGAGAAGGTTGTGCATTTTGGCCTCCAATCGTGATCCTCCTACGCCCACCTCCTGAGCTGCTGAGAGCCAGGCCCAGCTAGGAGCTGCACCGCACACAGAGCACAGGGTACTGGGGCCGACCCACCCCCCCCCCCCCCGCCCCCAGCGTTGGCCCAGGCGCCCCGCTATGGGAATTTTTTTATGGGTTTTCTTTTCCTTGGCAAGGAGGGAGTGGAGCTGTGACCCAGGCGGTAGAGGGCCAGCCTTGAGCAGGAAGGCTCAGGGACCGCGCCCAGGCCACATTCAAGCAGGGGGGCTCTGTGCAGACCCAGGCCCTTGGGACGCTCTCCAGGAGCCCCCGCTGCCTTCCCCGGCCCCCTGGGACACTGGGCACCCACAGGCTGGCGGGAACAGCTACCAGCCCTGCGGTGACGATGCTGCTGCCAGCCTCCCCCCTCCCCCATGACTCAGAACGCCCCGGAAATGTGGCCAGGGAGCCTGCACCCAGGCCCCAGCGCTGCTCCCCTAGAGGCCAACTTGGGGTCAGGGGTGAAATCAGGATTGACTGGGCCCAGGGCAATTCACGCCGTGTTGTAGTAGGTGGGGTAGGAGTTTGCTCATTGGGTCTGCACCTGATTATTTCCTTAATGAAAGTTCTCAGACAGCCCCACTGAAAGTTCTGGGAAACTGGCCATCTGCCTGCCCTGCCTGGGAGCCCCAGTCGCATTCCCTCCCCAGCCCTGGGGTGCCCTGCACACCGCTACGGGCAGAAACTGCCCAGGAAGCCAGGAGCGGGCATCTTGTGCCATCCAGGGCTGGCCGTGCTCTCCGGCTGGTCCAGGGTCCTCAGAGCTCAGCCTCCTGGGTGGCAGGGACGACAGGCCTGAGCCACAGCCACAGGGCTCGTGTCTCAATCTGGCCTTGAACTCTCCCTCCTCCCACTTCAGCCTCCAGACCGCTGGAATTACAGGAGTGTGCCACCATGCCCGGCCGAGTACCTGGGTTTCTGAGCGCCTGTGACCAGCGGCGGGTGTGTGTGTGTGTGTGTGTGTGTAATCATTTAGATCGGCCGCAGAGGCCTCTTCCAGCCCCTCCACGGGGCCCCTGGTGGCTGTGAAACCCCGCTCTCCAGGAAGCTCCTCTCGCAGGGCTGGTCCCAGCCGTCACCCCATTTCATAGAAGAGGAAACCCAGACCTGGTGTGTGGGAACTGGGGGCCAACCGGAAGCCACAGGGTGCCAAGCTGGGGGCAGGGACGAGGCTAGCTGCCCGGCCGCGGTCCACAGAGCACGCCTGCCGTCCCAGCGACTCGGAACGGCCCACAACACCCCAGCCTGCGGCCAGCCCGGGCAGGAAGGCCCGCGGACGCTGCCCTCTCGCAGACCAGCACACGTGGAAGTGGAGCTGAGGCTCGAGTGGACAGCACCGGCCTTGAGTGGGCAAAGCGCGGAGGCCGCGCCGGGCGGGGCTCGGACCCCTGTGTGAGCCCCGCGCCCCCGACGCAGCCCCGCGTGAGAGCTCAGAGGCTGAGGGGAGAATCCACTCCCGGAGAGGAGGTGTGCGCACCCCACGCTCCCAGCACGTGTGGAGGGGGCAGGACGTGGGCCCAGGACCCCGAGCACCGGGCCCCCAGCGCCTCGCCCCCCACTCATGTCTCCCGGGGCCGTGTCTGGGCGGCGAGTTCAAAGCCCAGGCCTCTATCTAGAAAAGAATCACTGAGTCATGGCGCATTGCACTGCGGCCTTTTGAGGAACTGCCCACACAGCCTGCGCCCCGCCTGCCCCCTGCTTCCACCCAGTCCTGGGGGGGCTCCCGGGACCCCGAATCACGGCCGTGGAGGGCAACAGGGCCAGTCACTGCTTTCTGGTGGGTGGAAGCTTCTAGACGGGGAAACAGAGCTGAGGCCCCACCTGTAACACCAGTGCTTGGGGGGCTGAGGTGGGGGACCCCGAGCTCCCGGCCAGCCTGGGCTGTGCAGGGAGAACCCCATCTCAACATAATGAGCAGCAAGCTGGGCTCCACCTGTCACCCCGGCTACTCAGGAGGCTGAGTCCTGAGGATCGCGGTTCAAAGTCAGCCTGGGCAGCAGAGTCCCTAAGACTCATCTCCAGCGAACCCCCAGAAAGCCCCGTCCGCCTGTCATTTCCTTCTGCACTGAGCACCCCGTTTTCCAGACAAGGAAACTGAGGCACAGGGCTGGGGGCGGCAGGGCAGATGGGTGGCCGTGAGGAGGAGGGTGGGGGTGGCCCTGGGACGGGGACCCCTCAGCATGGGGGTGTCAGGGTCCCCACGGCACAGAGCAGAGGCCACCCGCCCCACCCCGCCGCCCCACGGGAAGCACGGGGCTCCCCTAGCCACGCCCGATCGGGGGGGGGCAGAGGGGCGGGGGGGACGGGGGGGGGGCTGGGCCCGGGCCTGAGCGCTCCCACTTGAGCCACGGCCCGTTTCCAGCTTTTTGCTGCCTCATGGGCGAGTCAGAGCCTGAAGCTGACTACAGGGGGTCCCGGCCCGGGCTGCGGGGCAGGGGGAGGGGACCGCCGCGGCCCCCCAACCCCGCCGCGGAAGTGGGGTGCATCCGAGGGCGCCAGTTCTGCTTTCTGCGCGGCCCGCCACGGCGGGAGGAGCCGGCGCTGCCGTGGCCGACGGCGCCAGCCACGCGAGCTGCGCGGAGGCCTGGCTGCGGGCGGGGCGGGGCGGGGCGGGGCCAGGGGCCGGGGCCGGGGGCGGGGCCGGGGGCGGGTCCGCTGCCGCAGCCGCCCTGCGCCCCCCGCCCCGCCCCGCGCCCCCCCCGCCCCGCCCTGCGCCCCGCCCCGCCCTGCGCCCCCCCCGCCCTGCGCCCCCCCGCCCCGCCCTGCGCCCCCCCACCCCGCCCTGCGCCCCCCCCGCCCCGCCCTGCGCCCCCCCCGCCCCGCCCTGCGCCCCCCCCACCCTGCGCCCCCCCCCCCCCCGCCCCGCCCCGGGCCCCGCCGAGGACGGCGCCCCCGTCCACACTTCAAGCCCCACGACCGGCAGAAAAACAAAACAAAACGAAAAACGCATCCTCCCGGGAGCCGGGGCCGGAGGAGCGGCCGGAGCCCCGCAGCAAAGCCGGGCGCGGGCGTTGCTCGTGTGGAAGAGCACCGGAGCGGCGCCTGGAGCCGAGCAGACAGCGATCCCCGCCCCTGAGTGGGAGCCCCAGGACAGGGACACACAGACGGGGACACACACACACACACACACGGTTCCGCTCAAATCTCAGAAGCTTCCAGAAAGAGGCCCAGCGCGCTCCTCCAGCCATGCAGAGGTGCTGGAGCCCAGAGAACCTGAAAACAACCGGGCTGCGATCGCCCCGAAACCACAGCCGCCGCAGCTGCGCCCTGCGGCCGCTCACAGCGCCCCGAGAACCCCAACCCCACACCAGCCTCCCGGCCCCCCGAGCCCCAGCCCCACACCAGCCACCCGGCCCCCGAACCCCAACCCCACACCAGCCACGCGGCCCCCGAACCCCAACCCCACACCAGCCACCCGGCCCCCCGAGCCCCAGCCCCACACCAGCCTCCCGGCCCCCCGAGCCCCAGCCCCACACCAGCCACCCGGCCCCCGAACCCCAGCCCCACACCAGCCTCCCGGCCCCCCGAGCCCCAGCCCCACACCAGCCACCCGGCCCCCGAACCCCAGCCCCACACCAGCCACCCGGCCCCCCAGCCCCAGCCCCACACCAGCCACCCGGCCCCCCAGCCCCAGCCCCACACCAGCCACCCGGCCCCCCGAGCCCCGGGACCCCACACATGGCCGGGACTGTTCCGTGCTGCTGTGGGTCGTGGGTCCGGAGCAGCTCTTCGGCTCAAGGCCAGCGCTCACCCCTTAGCCTCGGCGCCACTTCCCGCTTTTCTGTCATGTGCGCTGAGGCATCGAGCCCGGCCTCGGCGAGCCAGGCGAGCGCGCCGCCACGGAGCCGCCCGCGAGCGCGACTGCGCGTTTTGTTTCGTCTTTAATGAGACAGCGGAGGCCATAAAAACGAAAGCCGTCGGCTATTTACATTCATTTACACTCTCGGTCACGGGCACGCACGGCGGGCACGCACGGCGGGCACGCACGCGGCGGACGGTCCCGGGGGCGCGCGCTCCCGCGGCGGCCGCTCCCGCGTCCTCTGGGATGCGCCGCTCGCCCCCCGGCCTGCGGTGGGGACGGGATGGCCGCGCGGCCCGGCCCGGTCCTGGGTCCAATAAATACAGTCACAGTCACGGCGCGGGCGCGGGCGCGGGGTCACGGGGTCACAGGTGCCTCTTCATGTGCAGCGCCAGGTGGTCGGAGCGGGAGAAGGCGCGCTCGCACAGGTGGCACTGGAACGGCCGGTGGCCCGTGTGCTTGCGGTAGTGGCGCGTGAGCTCGTCCGAGCGCGCGAACTTCCAGCCGCAGCCGTCCCAGTTGCAGTGGTAAGGCTTCTCTCCTGCAGGGCGAGGGCCGGCCTCAGTTTCCCTCCCTGGGACCGCAGCTCCCGCCAGCGCCGCGGCTGCCGCAGCAGCGGCCATGGGCTCCTCACCCCCCCCACCCCCCGCCAAGCTGAGCCCCCGCTGCGGGTCCTCACCCGCGGGGACAGGGCTGGAACTCAGCGCCCGCTCCCTCCGGCTGTGGGGGGGGGGGTCTCCAGGGTGTCCCGGGCCCGCGCCCGCCCGCCCCGCAAGCCCCGCCCCGCCTCCCAGCCCCGCCCCTCGAGGGCGGGGCTCCTGGACGGCCCCGCCCCGCGGCCTGCCCAATCCCCGCGCGCGGCCCCGCCCCCACCTGTGTGCGTGCGCAGGTGCGCCTTGAGGTGCGAGCTCTTGGTGTAGGTCTTGCTGCAGCCCGCGTAGCTGCAGGTGTGCGTGGCCGTGCGCTTGCGGGGCCACGAGCGGCGGCCGCGCTTCGGCTTGGCCTCCAGCAGCTCGAGCGGGGACGCGGGGGGGCGTGAGGAGCCCGCGCGCGGCGGGCGGCGCCAGGCCCAGGGCGGCGGCGGCGGCCGCGTCCTCGAACAGCCCGAAGGCGGCGGCGGCGGGGCCCGCGGGGCCCGCGAAGCGCAGGCCGGGCGCGGGGCCGCCGAAGCCGGGCGCGCCGAAGGGCGGCGGGAAGGGCGCGCGCGGGCCGGGCGCGGGCAGGCGCGCGGGGCCGTCGGGGCTGAGCGGCGGCGTGTCGGCCGGCGGGGGCCGCGCGCCCGGGACCCGCATGCAGGCGGCCGCCGCGCCCAGCCCCGCCTCGCGCTTCGGGCCCCGCGGCCCCGCGCGGCCGTAGCCGCCGCCGTCCGCCTCGGGGGGCTCGGCCTTGACCGGGCGCGCGGGCGGCGCCCGCACGAAGCGGCCGTGCAGCGCGGGACCCGCGTCGGGCGCGGGGCCGCCGTAGGGCGGGGGCGGCTCGGGGTAGAAGAAGGCGGGCGGCGGCGGCGGCGGCGGCTCCGGGGCCTCGGCGCCCAGCCCGTCCAGCCCCATGGACAGGATGAAGTCCAGCACGCTGTTGAGGTCGTCGTCCGTGCCGCCCGCCTCGGGCTCGGGCCGCGGCCAGCGCTGCGGGGACGGGGCGGGGGACCGGGCGTGAGCGCGGGGCGCCGGGGCCCCCGCGATCCCCGCCGCCCGGGGTCCCCGCGATCCCCGCCGTCAGCCGCCCGGGGCCCCCGCCGCCCTCACCTCCTGGAGGCCGCGCTCGCGGCACGGGCTGGCGAAGGTGGAGAAGGACGGCAGGATGGGCTCGCTCAGCGCCATGGCGGGGGCCGGGGGCGGCGGGGATCGCGGGGACCGCGGGGCCGGCTCTGCCCCGCTGCCCGGCCCGCCTGGCCTTATAGGCGCGGCGCGCGCGGGGGCCGGGCCAGGGCGGCGGAGCGGAAACGCGTCCCGGATGGGGACGAGCTCCGGGCGCAGCCTAAATTTAGCCGCGGTATATAAGGCCGGCGGGCGGCGGCGGCCGAGGCCTCGGCGGGCGCCCGGGCTCCGCGCCGCCCGGCCCGGCCCCCGTGGCCCCGCCCCCGCCCGCCAGGCCCCGCCCCCGCCCGTCTCCACGGCGACGACGTCAACACGCGCGGCACAACAGCCGCGGGACGCCCGCCCGGCCTGGCTCCCGCCTGCGCAGCGCCTGGTCCCCCCCGACCCCCCACGGACCCTGCAAGTGCAGGGAAACTGAGGCTGGGGCGCTGGGAACGGCGGGGGCCTGGCCGACTGGCTGCCCTGACTGGAAGTACCGGAGACTGTCCCTGGACCCCGGCCCCCCGCACCCCGGCCGGGCCCCGGCCCAGAGCCAGGCTCGGAACTCTCCAGAAATTGTGCCACGTGACGCACAGCTGAGCCTCCAGCGGGCTCCGGCGAGGTCCGCAGGTCCCCGCCCGGGTCGGGTCTCGGGTGTTTCCCCCCACACACCCCTGCGTCCTGAGGGAACAGCAGGTGGATCGGGCACGCGTGGGGAGGCAGCACTGAGCATCCGCCCCGCTGAGTGAAGGGACGCCACGCGGGTCCCGGGGCTGTGGTGTGGGCACCGTCAGAGCCGGGGCCCGGGCCGTCCTGGCCCCGCCCCGCCAGTGCTGGAGACCAGCCCACCATCCGAGCCACGCCCCTGCCCGCCCGAGCCACGCCCATAGTGCACTAGTCAACTCCACACCAATGCTGAGCCTCGAACTGCCATCCTGGCCACGCCCCTGTCACTTAGCCACGCCCACAGCACAGCTTGGGCTGTGCCGCTCTAGCCACGCCCACGCCATCGCTGGAGCCACGCCCCTAGTATCTTAGCCACGCCTCCATCCTAGCCACGTCCTGCTGCGCGAGCCACGCCCACCCTGCGGCTTGGGCCACGCCCCGGCCCGGCCCCCCAGCTTTCCCCCCCGCAGATCCGCTGTATTTACCCCAAACAGCGGCCTGGGAGCCAGGAGGACTGGCGGGCTGCCGGCCAGGGCGCCCGGCCAGGCCCCGAGTCGGCCCGGCCCGGGCGGCCTGCGGGAGAGACCAGCTTTCTCCCTGGAGGCTGGTGCTCTACCACCTGGGCCACTGCTCCACGTCTTTTGGTGGTTGGAGAAGTGAGCCGCACAGACTTTCCCACCCTGGCTGGCTTTGAACCGCTGTCCTCTGCTCTCAGGCTCCTGGGCCATTGGGACGACTCCGTGAGCGCTGGCTCACGCCTGGCATCCCCACCACGCAGGAGGCTGAGATCTGAGGATGGCGGTTCAAAGCCAGCGTGGGCAGGAAAGGCCGCGAGACTCTGATCTCCAATGAACCACCAGAAAAGCGGGAGCGGCGCTGTGGCTGAAGCGATAGAGCGCTCACCTTGGGCTTAAGAGTGGAGGGACAGCGCCCAGGCCCAGCGTTCAAGACCCAGCACCCAGAGTGGGGGACTCATGTCCCTGTCCCTCTGCCTTGGGACTCCCGTCCCCCTTTCCCTCCCCCCCCTTCTTCCCTCCCTTCTTTCCCTTCCCTCCCAAGGCTGCGCTCTGGGCTTCTGGTGCAGCTCTGGACCATCATGATGACGTTTTGCTCCAGACTCAGACTCGAACACGAGACCGGAGGCTCTGTGGTCGCTGGTGGGTGCTCTCCCATCTGAGCCTCACCTCCACCTCCTAGAACATGCTTTCCTTCTCCTCTGATAATCCCCCCATCCCTTGCTGTGGGGAGAGTTGGGACAAACCCCGCATTTAGGAGACGGGTGAGCGTGTGCAGCTCCTTGCGGACACACGTCATGCAGGGGGAAAGGGACACGCCCTTGCCGGCTGTGCCCCGCAGCAACTTCTGTTTTATTTGGGCGCTGGGCTGTCGGCCCAGGCCTGCCATCCCATGCATCTCTAATGTTTATTTGTGTGTATGTGTTGGTCGTGGGCCTTGAACTCTGGGCCTGGGCGCTGTCCCTCAGCTCTTCAGCTCAAGGTGAGCGCTCTACCACTGAGCCCCCTTCCCAGCCCCATTTTTTTTGCTATTTTTGAGACAGGATCGCAGCTGTGAAGCCCGGGCTGACTTGGAACTCTCCATCCTCCAGCCTGGGCCTGCAGAGGTCCAGGATTACAGGCGCATGTCTCCACGCTCAGCTCCTGCTCAGCCATGGGCTGCCCGGGCCTTTGCTGGCCGGGCCAGGCACCGTGGCCTTCCCCAGCCCCCGGCCTGGGGCCTTGCTCTGCTGTCACCTCGCGTGTGCGTGGCATACGAGCTGCGTGGGGTGCACAGGAGCTGTCTCCTGGCGCTAATTCTTTCCACACTGCCATTCCCAAAGACTCCCTCCCCTCCCCCATTCCCTCCTCACCCAGCCTGTGAGGCCTGGTGAAAGAATGTTCTGGAATATTTTGTTTCGGGTACTCCTGGCTGGCTGGCAGCCCAGTCTCCCCCCCCACCCCCTGGGCGGCACAGCACCCCAGGCCCTGCCTGGCCGGGCTCGGGCGCGGGCGACCCTGGCCACGGAAAAGAGCCGGGCTTCGCTGCGGCCCCCGGTGAAGAGGGGAGCCTTCCTGAGCCCAGGAAAGAGAAAATACCACCCACCCGAAACCTCCCCCCTCCAAATCCTCCCCCCTCCAAACCTCCCCCCTCCAAACCTCCCCCCCTCCAATCCTCCCCCCCTCCAAATCCTCCCCCCTCCAAACCTCCCCCCTCCAAACCTCCCCCCCTCCAATCCTTCCCCCTCCAAACCTCCCCCCTCCAAACCTCCCCCCTCCAAACCACCCCCCCTCCAAACCTCCCCCTCCCAAACCTCCCCCCTCCAAACCTCCCCCTCCCAAACCTCCCCCCTCCAAACCTCCCCCTCCCAAACCTCCCCCCTCCAAACCTCCCCCTCCAAACCTCCCCCCTCCAAACCTCCCCCCTCCAAACCTCCCTCCCCCCAAACCTCCCCCTCCAAACCTCCCCCTCCAAACCTCCCCCTCCCAAACCTCCCCCCTCCAAACCTCCCTCCTCCAAACCTCCCCTCCTCCAAACCACCCCCCTCCAAACCTCCCCCTCCAAACCTCCCCCCTCCAAACCTCCCCCCCTCCAAACCTCCCCCCTCCAAACCTCCCACCTCCAAACCACCCCCCTCCAAACCTCCCCCTCCCAAACCTCCCCCCTCCAAACCTCCCTCCCCCAAACCTCCCCCCTCCAAACCTCCCCCTCCAAACCTCCCCCTCCCAAACCTCCCCCCTCCAAACCTCCCCCCTCCAAACCTCCCTCCTCCAAACCACCCCCTCCAAACCTCCCCCTCCAAACCCCCCTCCAAACCACCCCCTCCAAACCTCCCCCCCTCCAAACCTCCCCCCTCCAAACCTCCCCCCTCCAAACCTCCCTCCTCCAAACCTCCCTCCTCCAAACCTCCCTCCTCCAAACCACCCCCTCCAAACCTCCCCCTCCAAACCTCCCCCCCCTCCAAATCCTTCCCCCTTCCAAACCTCCCCCCTCCAAACCTCCCCCCTCCAAACCTCCCCCCTCCAAACCACCCCCTCCAAACCACCCCCTCCAAACCTCCCTCCTCCAAACCACCCCCCTCCAAACCCTCCCCCCTCCAAACCTCCCCCCTCCAAATCCTCCCCCCTCCAAACCTCCCCCCCTCCAAACCTCCCCCTCCAAACCTCCCCCCTCCAAAACCTCCCCCCTCCAAACCTCCCCCCCTCCAAACCTCCCCCTCCCAAACCTCCCCCCTCCAAACCTCCCCCTCCCAAACCTCCCCCCTCCAAACCTCCCCCCTCCAAACCACCCCACTCCAAACCTCCCCCTCCAAACCTCCCCCTCCAAACCTCCCTCCTCCAAACCTCCCCCCTCCAAACCTCCCCCCTCCAAACCTCCCCCTCCAAACCTCCCCCCTCCAAACCTCCCCCTCCAAACCTCCCCCCTCCAAACCACCCCACTCCAAACCTCCCCCTCCAAACCTCCCCCTCCAAACCTCCCCCCCTCCAAACCACCCCCCTCCAAACCTCCCCCCTCCAAACCTCCCCCTCCAAACCACCCCCCTCCAAACCTCCCCCCTCCAAACCTCCCCCTCCAAACCTCCCCCCTCCAAACCTCCCCCCCTCCAAATCCTTCCCCTTCCAAACCCTTCCCCTTCCAAACCACCCCCTCCAAACCTCCCCCCTCCAAACCTCCCCCTCCAAACCTCCCTCCCCCAAACCTCCCCCTCCCAAACCTCCCCCTCCAAACCTCCCTCCCCAAACCTCCCCCTCCAAACCTCCCCCTCCCAAACCTCCCCCCTCCAAACCTCCCTCCCTCCAATCCTTCCCCCCTCCAAATCCTTCCCCTTCCAAACCCTTCCCCCTCCAAATCTCCCCCCTCCAAACCTCCCTCCCCCAAACCTCCCCCTCCAAACCTCCCCCTCCAAACCTCCCCCCTCCAAACCTCCCCCTCCAAACCTCCCTCCCCCAAACCTCCCCCTCCCAAACCTCCCCCTCCAAACCTCCCTCCCCCAAACCTCCCCCTCCCAAACCTCCCCCTCCAAACCTCCCTCCCCAAACCTCCCTCCTCCAAACCTCCCCCCTCCAAATCCCCCCTCCAAACCTCCCCCTCCAAACCTCCCCCCTCCAAACCTCCCCCTCCCAAACCTCCCCCCTCCAAACTTCCCTCCTCCAAACCTCCCCCCTCCAAACCTCCCCCTCCCAAACCTCCCCCCTCCAAACCCTCCCCCCTCCAAACCTCCCCCCTCCAAACCTCCCCCTCCCAAACCTCCCCCCTCCAAACCCTCCCCCCTCCAAACTTCCCTCCTCCAATCCTCCCCCCTCCAATCCTTCCCCCTCCAAACCTCCCCCTCCAAACCTCCCCTTCCCAAACCTTCTCCCTCCAAACCTCCCTCCTCCAAACTCTCCCCCTCCAAACCCTCCCCCC